GACTCCACTAAATTAAATAGCGGCCAATATTTGAAATTGAGTAAATCAAATTAAGTAGTGTCAAATTAAGTGTATCTACAGCACTGGCTGGAATTTACTGCTCAAATGAACGTACCTCTGTCCCTTCTTCTTACTTTGAAGTCGGGAAGATTTGGTAGGAAAATATCTTTTGTGATGCAAGAAAGAAAATAGGATGCTGTATCCTAATCTTACCTGTTTTGGTCAAAATACAGTAAAACCTGTGTACATTGAACATTTTTTGCCAAGAAAAAATGTTCAGTGTTGGTAGGTATTCAGTCCTGTTCACTACAGACAGGGTTATTTACAGAAGTCAGCAGAGTATATGCGGAGGAAGGGTGACTACAGATATATCTGTTCACTGGAGGGAGGTGTTCGCTAAGACAGGTTTTACTGTATCCCAATATTTCACCCTTTTGGCAGGGTTCACTCAGATAAATTACTAAGGGGAGGTATTTACAGTTGGATTAATGCTAGGGAGATCAACTAACCACAATTATAATATTAGAATACACAGGATCAATAAAGGTATACTCAATGGCAAATGCCTCGAATTACATCAATCTAAGATCACTATCTAAAACCTGTCAAGTTCAACATTGTTTCGAGTCGGATAAAGTAACAAAAGAAAAAACATCTGTGATGGCAAATTTACCTGATGATAATTGTCCCAAAGAATATATTCATTGCGAAACTGAAAACTCAATCTGGTACAAAATGATGCCCCTTTAAGCTGTTTTCATCTGGAGTTTGTTCAGATAATCCCAAGACAAGATTAGCTTGTACTGCAGGTGCCTTACCTTATTGAGGTATTTGTCCATTACTGTGAGGGTCACCTTACATTAATATTTCATTGAAATACATCCCATCTCCAACTGATGCAGTTAGTATTTTATGTTATACCAGGATAGTTTTTCCACCAATTCTTCTTGACCTTGAAGGAAGTATAAGGGATAGATGAGTTGAAAGTAAAACACTGCCCTGTCAACCCTCACGCATTAGGCGTGATTGTCACGCATTTGCTGGAAAAATAGAAATCACGCATCAATTTAGCGTGTATGATCAAATATCACTCAAATCACGCATTTTGTTGAAATTTTAAAAAATCGGTTTTTGTGAAATGCCGACATGGTAAAATACCGAACGGCGAAAAAAAGCGAATGCATTCCGTTCGGTCTTTGCACGCGATTGCCGTTTATATCACGCATTTGGTACAAAACATGTGTATATATCACGCATTTGTTTCGAAAATATACACACCTAAAGTTTGAAGAAAGCTGTTCAACATTTGAAAGTCACTCATGTTAGATGGTCCCAAGTTGACAGCCCTGAAAACAAAAACAACAATTTTATCTTTGCGTGAACATTACCTTTTAGGTTTTTTTAATCCTTTTAAAAATGTGCATTTCTCCATTCAAAACATTAATAAAGATTATTAAGACTAAAAAAATTCAATACAAAACATCCCATCACCAAGCCTACCACATGTTGTTGTTACTGAAACAGATTGTTGTTTTAACTTCCTGTTCAAGTGCATGTACTTTCAAAGCATTGTTGCTAATTTGATATCCCCTCCCTAAAATCAAAAATAAAATATAGCGTAGCACTGTAAATAGTTAATATGTTTTGACCCTCATTGATTTGGTCTTAGTTCAAAATGTCTGCGACAGATCCAATCAAAAGGTTTAAAAAAGATATTTTAACACAAAGTCTGGGGCATATTGACAAGCTTTGGCAAACAATCTCTGTTTTGTTATTATATTCAACCTGAAACCTAACATTACAATGAGATCATTCAAAAAACATCTATAAAAGTTGTTAAATAAATGTTAGAATTTTACAATTTTAGCCACCGGGTTTATTGACTTCTAGATTAATCTTATTTAGGCCAAGGTAAAACAGAAAATGCCAAGGTCATGCATTGAATGGTTGTTAAGGTAACAACTGGACTCTACTGATTGAAATTGATGCTTTGTCAACTCGACCCTTGCAAAAAGTTTCATTGAAAATATGTTCCTTTAGTGATTTCGTATATTTTAGGTGATTTCATAGGAAATGTTTTGCAATGTGTGAAAAGAATTTAACCCCAAGACTTGCTGCATTTTGGCTGATTCATTCTACTCAGGTGTTGTTTCCTAAACTTTGCATTCCCACTGCATGGTCATGCAAAGATTTGAAAACAACCCCTTTGAAATGATTCAGTCCACAATAATGACAATGCACAAGTCAAGGGCTTAAATCCTTAAATAAGTTTCATTTTGTAAGAAAAATAGAAAAATATGTTTGTATTCTTAGTTTTATATTGGTCGCAAACACCCAAATATTATTGTGAGAAGATCCAAATTCTTTCATCCTAAGCTTTAACAAAAATAATTAAATTTGTGTAATGTGTCTTTATATTGCATCAGGGCATTCTCTGCTGAATATATATTACATGTAATATAAACATAATAGAGTGAAATTCTAAACTGCCTTCCCTTTTGTTTGATCTTTCATATTGATCTTATTCCATTGGTATATTGTACTAAAACCATAGTGTATTTGAACTTCATGCAAATTTCTCCACTCCCCCTCCCCCTTGAGTATGTTTTACTACAGATATGGTATTATGTTTTGATGAACCTGTTTTCAAAGAATGGCATCCTTTTTAGAGATACTTTTTATATTTCAAAGATGCGGTTATTCAACTCTACAATGTCTTACCAGGGACATAAAGAGACAAAGTCTTTTGAATGAAGAGACTCCTGTTGGTTGTAAATTCTAAAGGTTCCACCTGCACTGCCGCCGTATGGTTGTTCACAATTGTGCAAGTTAAAAACACAATATATAATTTACCTTTAGAGAACGTTGTTACATTGACGTTAAATGTTGATCCAAATTGAGATTTCATAAAAGATTTCAATTTTTATTTGATTATTAAAAAAATGTTTCGTTATTAATATGTTTTTTTGGAATCAAGGGCAAATAAAATATAGATTGTGTCATTTGTGCCTGTCAACTGTAGCCTTGATCTTTCTCTCTTGTATCCATCCTATCTATTCATATGTAACATAAAAAAGATTATGGTAATTAAAAATGACCAGGTGCACAAGAATTATTATATGTTTTGTTTTCAAGGATTTTCATCAATGTAGAAACTTTATTTACAAGTTTCGTGAACAATATCCAAGTATCATATTACATATCACAAATTCAACATTTTATAATCTCCCCACACATCTCGCATAAATCTGGAGAATGATGAAGAACTGCAAATTTGTATCATTGTGAAAAATAACTGTTTTAGCCTAAGTCACCATCTGCTGCGGTGAGAAAACTCCGGTTAGTCTGACCTTGAGAGCCAATCAAAACACATCTTTGTGTACAATGTTTGAATTCTTCTTAGACCAAACTTTATGAAATTTTATTCTACTTTTGATGTTTTGTGGTTTTGTTATTTTATTTCGTTTGTGTAAGGCACAGTTCAATTGTTGCCATGGAATTTAAGTGGGTGAATTTGAAAAAAGTCAGTTACATCATTCTAAAGAGTATGCATATGAAATGAGGATAGATAGAGTCGGAAAGATTGGGGACATGTGTCACATAGAAATCTGGAGGGACTTAACAATGCCTGAAATGTGAAGACATTTGGTGTGGTTTATGGGTTGTGTGCCCCATTGTGTAAAGGTTAATGGTTGTGACACTGTATTGTGCTGGAGTTGTGATTGTGCTGGTGCACAACCCTTGCTCCTTATCTCTTCTACTTGAAGAATTTTTAGAAAAATTAATTAAACACAATAGAAAACACACCTGTGATGTAACTCATGCGAATATGCAAATAATCACATGAGAAATTGTAATATTATCAAGCGTTTGAGAGAAATAGTAGAAAAAGTTGAGATATTTTGCAAGGGTTCTAGAACACAATGGAGTGCAGATGTGGCACAATGCAATGAGTGTAGCGCCAAAACACATTGCGCTAGCACCACCTGCCATGTCTCATACCCCCACATTGTCCCACCAGCTTCTATCACTTAATTCCCAAAATATACTGTTAGATTTAGAAGTTAGAACTTTGAGTTTTATATTTCAACCCTAAATGCAGGCAAATCTATTCTATTAAGTCAGATTATTGTGTGTTACTTGCCCTCCTATCATAGCATCAAATATATTGATGATTTTCCGTTGTGTTTTCTTAAATCTCATCATCTCCCAAAAGTACACAATGCATAACCATTGACTAAAACTATTATTGTAAAGATGTGTAGATTTTCAGTGAATATCTATGATCTAATGATATTTTGTAGGGTGTTGATTCCTCTTTCTAATACACTGTATATGCATTTAAATGCATGTGTTTTGTATGAAGAGCAAATTATCAGCATTGAGTTATATTTGCAAGGGTGATGATTTTAGAGTTGAGCACAAGGCACCTCTGTTGCTTAACTTGAATGCGGCAGTTAAGATTGTTCATTGGTTCAATTTGGTTGTGCTGCTTTACTGATTGTTCATTGGTTGTGCCTGTTTCTAATGCACCAATAGACAATGGCACACATCTCTATTCTACTTGTATTCACTGTTCTTAACAATAACGGCAGTCAGTCTGAGGATAGCTGAGTAGAAGTATGAACTGCAAACAACCAAGGGATGAAAACTTTAACAGAATAACAAGGCATAAAGTAAATATCGGGAATCTAGGAACAATTATAGGCCTCGGAGCCCCATTCTGATGTATTATACTAATATTGTAAACATTAGTATATAATCTTGTCATTTGTCAAAACATTGCTTTAAAACTAAATGCATGGCTAAATATATTCTCCAGAATAGAGCAATTTGATGGCAGGCAAACAGCATTGAAAATCTGAAGCTGAAGTGAAAATAAATTTCTATATTGCTGTATTTGGTTAGTTCATGGAAGTGTGTGGTAAAAGAGTAAAAGGGAGTTATGCAGGATTGAGCCACAAATATCTAAAATTAAATCATTTGTAATGTATTTGTAGGACATGGAGCCTGAGGGGAAACAAGACTCAGATGACGTAGATATCTCTGTGATACGAGGCCCAATAGAACTAGGGCTGTCCAATCTTGAACAGGTCGTGCGTTGCGTCAACCATGGCACCAATGAAGTGAAGCAATTTCTCTATAGAGAGTCTAATGTCATACTAGAGTGCAATGTAAGTTTATGATTTTTAAATGTTTGTCACATGAATTCTAGTTCTGGCATGTACATCCACGCCCGGTGATCGTGAATATGGGACGGAGGGGGAGCAGGCAATTTCTGCTAGGAAATTCAACAAATCTGGAAGATTTATTTTTTCAAGAAAAAGTTTACTATTGAATTGCTAAATGGATAGGCGCACGGTATGGTAGAATATGTTAGGTTTTCTGGGATTTTTTCTGAAACGATACGCATCTAAGGTATGAGATCTATTAAAAAAGGCGCAAGGCCATCAACAGGCACAAATCAACGTTTTTGCTATAAATCAAGCAACAATGGTCTGGACGACCTGTAATAAATACTTGTAAGTGATGTTATCATAACTAAATTAATGTCATTGCTGAATTTATAAAATAAGTTTCCATACGTAGAATAAAAAATAATCAAAAATAATTAAAATGGGACGGAGGGGGGAGGGGACGGAGGGGGGGAGTAATAATTCTATAAAGTGAAACAACTTCACACGAATTCTTGTATTTGAAAAATGAACTCATTAACTTAGTAAGAAACTGGATGATATACCCCTGGAGACTGAAAAATGGGGACATTTGGAGTAAAAGGACTTAAAGTCGCGAAACATCTCTAATCATGTCTTATATAAATATTGCTCCCCCCCTCCGTCCCCTCCCCCCCTCCGTCCCAAATTCATTATTTTCGATTATTTTTTATTTCACATATGGAAACTTATTTTAAAAATTCAGCCATGACATTAATTTAGTTATGATAACATCACTTACAAGTATTTATTACAGGTCGTCCAGACCATTGTTGCTTGATTTATAGCAAAAACGTTGATTTGTGCCTGTTGATGGCCTTGCGCCTTTTGTAATAGATCTCATACCTTAGATGCGTATCGTTTCAGAAAAAATCCCAGAAAACCTAACATATTCTACCATACCGTGCGCCTATCCATTTAGCAATTCAATAGTTAACCTTTTCTTGAAAAAATAAATCTTCCAGATTTGTTGAATTTCCTAGCAGAAATTGCCTGCTCCCCCCTCCGTCCCATATTCACGATCACCGGGCGTGCATCTGTAGGATGATTTTTGAAAAAAATCAGGTGAAAGGAAAATCAATATTTTAAAATCTACTCGTATATGGGTCGAGCCATAATGAAATTAACTTCATTTTTGCACAAGTGACAACATAAGTAAATAAAACACTCTGTTACAACATTTGACATTTTGGAAAACCGAAAGATGTTTAGAAACCAGTGAATTTATTTAAAATCTACATTCGTTTATTGTTACTTACACAATTCATGTAAATGAAGATAAAGTCCATCTTTGATAATAACTAGGCATGAACATTGCACCAGAATTTCCTCACAGCATAAGCATGGGACATGTTGTATAAATCAATGATTTCAAAAAAAATTAAACCTCTATATGTAAAGTTCTGAGGAGTAGGTCAATCTGTAATGTGACTTTGCCATATTAGATCCTCAAAATTAATTGTGTGACAATAATTGTACTAAAATATAGACTCTTATACTAAAAGTGCTATTTACAAATGACCATACAGTCTTACCCTGACCCTGTCATCTTTCAAACATCCCATTCAGACACTTGCATACTGTTGTAAATGTTTTGATTAGATTGATAAGGGGGAGGGAGTAATAAATAATTTTGGTAAAAAATGTTGATTTTCAATTGAAATTCATATAGAATGCAAATGATGTTTTATGAGGCAGGAGGGGTGTTCAATCACAATGAAATTATTTGGACAAGGAAATCGTCCCTTCTAAAGGATTCTAATATGATACATGACGTCACAATAGCTAGAACAATTGATTTACTGGTCTATATTGGAGCATGTGTGACCACTAAAATTCATAAATGCAAATAGCTTTGTTTCTTGTCTGTTTATCATATAAGAATTGAAGCAAAGACCTCGATTTTATGTCAAAATCGATTTTATGTCAAATATATGACCTCAAATTTTATTCTGGCCAATGCCAAAAACAACAATCGCTACGTGATTTCTGTCTTTTAACAATGAACATAATAAAATTTTTGGTCATATATTACGCCATAAATCATAAAATCTCGGTCTTTATTTCTTTAATAATTATTTCAACTTGGGAAATATGTAGTAGGTGTTTTAATTATTTTACACATCACTCTATATACACTGTGCTTTACGAAAACAAGCGGTGCGGATATCATGTGCGTAAGGTGCAGATATTAATAGTCATTTTGAATTTGATTTCGTGATATTTCACCAACTAAGGCATTTGGGTACTCAATTATATTCTTACATGTGTACAAGTTCTTTAATAAAAAGGAAATTGTTTTAATAGGTGTGAAGGTCATTCTATAGCGACACATCAAGCAATAATACTCTCTCCAAAGCAAATAATTTTAAATTGCAGCTGTTTCACAGTGTAAACAGCATTCATTCAATATCGGTGATCGAGATGACCTATCAATACAAATTATATTTGCATTTTGAAAGTTGAAAGGTTTCTGTGTGATTTTATACAAAATTGGAAACATTAAACAAAAAGCTACTACCTCTAAACAAGCATTGCACATATACGCGGATATTCATAAAGTGATGATATCCGCACCACTTGTTTAGAGGTACCACATATCCGATAAATTTTTTCAATTTTTTAATTCACACAGAAAGTTTCACATTTTGACTCAGTGTCAACACAATTGTTATCTCAACATAATTCTTGTTTGCAAATTTTTTATTAATATTTTTGAAAATGTTTTATTATCAGCTTTAATGGATGTTGTATTGGCACTTAGATATAGATGGTTCTCACATCATATAATAAAGTAGAAACCTGTCTAATCCAAACATTTATCCTTATCAAACATTGAAGCTACATTGTCAAATAGTTTTCAAAATAACCGCAGCTTTTTTCTTCCAGGTCTGTAAGAGTTTGTTCCGCGCTTTACCAAACTTTATAGCTCACAAACGTTGCTACTGCAAAGAGTCTTACTGTGATCGCAAGGTGAGGTTTGTGGAGAAAACTGACGCCAGCGAAACAGTGGTAGTTCTCCCAGAATCCCCCATTGAGAAGGCAGATGATTCAGAGAGTGACAAATTTGTCAAGCCAAAGGCAACAGAAAGTAAGAATTGTTTACAATTTATCTCTATTGATAGAAATAAAATTGAAGGTGCAGGTTATGAGTAGCAATCAAACGTACCAGTGAAACAGACTAGATTCAGTCAGAATGATATTATATTTGAAAACCCCATACTTAATTACACCTAAAATGTGGTTTAAAAGATATTTTAGGAAATTAAATTTTTAGGTTGGGAATGGATTTCCCATAGCATCAAGGCTAGAAAATTCGGAACTTATTTTTATTATTTTAAAGGATATAATTGTCATAAAATATTCAAAAATGTAAGATGAAAATTGCCCCACTGAACCTATTCCTATTTTTTATTCAAGATAACAGAAATCTTTGTACAGGGTGACAAAAAAAAACTGGAACCCACTTAAGTCTTAATAACTTCTTCAATGATGCATATTGAGCTTAGTTATTTGGTACATGTATAGTCAACTGAATGTATGACAAGATGTCAAAGTTTTAGCATTGTAGCTCAATTAGTCTCCAAATGAGGCACGATAAGATAATGTGCTCCAAATGTGCACCATGACGTTAAATGCAGAGCTGGATTCTTCTTGCAAAATTGTCAATGACCCTACTGCATTCATCTCTGTCTATCTCTCTAATTAGTCTTCCAATGTTGAGTTTGAGGTCATCAATGGTCAGTGGACTATCTGTTTACACATTATCCTTGAGATACTCCCACAGATAAAAATCTGGGGGGTTCAAATCAGGGGAGGGGGGGGCCCAGATGTGGCGGGTATGGTGACTGATTAATCGATCACCAAAGTGAGCCTGAAGCCATCGAATGGACTCATTTGAGGTGTGGGGTGTGGCACCATCTTGTTGGAACCATTGCTGGTCCCTTCTCAAGTCACGTCGTCTTCCCAGTGCTCTCCAAAACGTTTGAACGTTAGGGATGTAACGTGCTGAGTTGACTGTTGAGTTGTCTTGAGTTCTGACAGACCTCTCCCTCTCCCCGAATAGGTTGGTTTACCATCACCTTTCTTCTTTGTTGGTTTTACAGTTCCTTCTGAATCAAACTTCTGTACAAGCCTAAAGATCTGTGACTTGCAAGGGGCTCTTCTTGCCCTATGATCTCTCATATAGGCAGTTTGTGTCTCTTTATAGGATTTTGTCTCGATATACTTTCTCACAATATAAGTCTTTTCTTCTGTCGTCCATGGCATGATTAATATCTAAGCTACAGTACTCATTTTGTGTCATTTTGTTATGCATTCAGTCTAGTTTCTACCCTGAAGAAATGAAGAATGTAGGTATAATACTTTCCGAGAAATTTGATGATTTATGGGTTCCAGTTTTTTTTGTCACCCTGTATGCAGTGCAACCTTACTGAGGTACCCACCTGGTGAGTCTAGACATTTTTGAAGAATGAATAAAGGAACTTCCGAACTGTTACATTTCAGATACAAGGCATAATATTGTAGAACAGATGCAGGAAGGAAAGTTTGATGGTAAATCTGAAGACTATAAATTCTATAGTAAGGCGGTGGAGGAGGTGAATCGTAGTAAGGGGAACGCCTACACTTCCCTTGTTAAATTGACACCCATCAAGTGCAACCCTAATGCTGTCAAACAAAAGGTACTTTTACAAGAAGTGTATTCTCATTTTTACCAATAAGAAGTAGTAATACCAAATCATATGACTGGTATTTGACTTTTAGTGTTGGCATGTGAGAAATTGTTAAACTTTTGTAATTTCAACAAGCATTTTAGCTCATTTCATGTTGCCTAGTTTTTGTTGCTGTATAGATGGATTAATTGATAAATATAGATTAATATTAATGGATTAATAGATGGTAATTGTAATGTAGATTTGGTCATGCAAGAAAAAGGACTAGACAAAGTTACTTATTTCTTAATTCATCAAATATTTCTAATTGGATTAAAACTCCATTGGCATGAAACTAAATTGTCTTTAATTCCCAAAAAGTCTCATTGAAAATATCTCTATTTGACATGAACAATTCCCTTCAAAAAATTAAAAAATATTATACTCAGCAAATTCATACAAAGTGCTAATAAGACTATTTTCCATTTGATTTTAAAACAAATTAATGTTTCCTTGACAGAAACCAAAACATTGTATCTCTGGCATGCCTTTTAAATTAAAAATAAGAAGGCATTTGCAGTTTGTGACTTATTTTCATCTTTTCTGTAGGTAAAGGTAAAAAGCAAGACAGATGCAGATTTATCTGAGGATGATACCAAGTGTGAGAACAGTATGGATACTGATGGACTAGGTAAATATGCAATATATAACATGGGAAAATTAAATGAGTAAAGAGTGAAGGTTTGTTTGGTGCAAAATATTGAGATATTTTATCTTTAGTTTTAGACGACACGGATCAAAAATCATTGAAGTAAAAGAATAGCGTCTTAACTGCTAATATACAATTTTCATAGAGTTCTACAATGCCTTGAAGTTATCAACCACACTTTTAGTTTTTGCACTCTTATAAGATAGCAAATTGTCATATTCAAATCCCAAAACATTTTCATATTAATGACTCATTAATCCCTTATGTGTTATATTTATCCACATGGAAAATATATCAATGTAGAATACTAATTTTCCATGTTATTATCCCACTGAAGATTTTTTGCCACTTTTGAAAATAACATGTGAAAACTTAATTCTCACAATCAACAGTGCATTTTAGACATACTTATTTATCAAGCTTTACAGGCTTTGGTCTATGAGACAGTACCAGGGTGCATCATAAGAATTTCATTTTCTGTATATTCTCATTCTTGAAAAAGTCCCAGATTTGAACTAACTGGCTTAAAAAGTAATGAACTCTGACTCTACACTTAGTTGCAACCTGAACATTAGCCAATTTAATTTACAATTACATTGTTTTGCATTTATGTTTCCAGGTGACAATGTCTCTGATGTAGATGAAGAGGACATAGTGACAGTAGAACCTACAGCGCCACCAGGCCCTCCAACAAGAATGAGCTTACGAGAACGACAGAGCTCTTCATTCTCCCCTCTTGTCAGTAAACTATCTCGTCGTGACGATTGTGACATCACAATGTTGACTTGTCTGAAATGTAACACGCAGTACTCTAGTATCAAAACTTTACATTTTCATATGAACTCGTTACATTCAGAACAGAAAAAATTCTACCCATGTTTATATTGCTCGAGCACCTTCTCTCAAATCTGGGGAGTCACCAGGCATCTTCAACGTCGTCATGGCAAGTCCAAACAGGAAGTGGAGAAGTTACGGGATAAACTCCGGAGAAAATCGTTCACTCGGCCCATAGAGGAGGTTGGAGAGGGAATAACACATACAAAGAGTATTGAACATAAAGTGAAAGTGAAATGTGAACCTGGTGAAGATGACAGTGACACAAATCTAAGCAATAACATCAAAATTGAAATCAAATCTAAAAGTGGACGCAAGGCGACAGCAATACGATTCAACTCATTCCATCTGTTTAAATGTGACTGCTGTGGGAAAGGTTTTGCTAAAAAGTCTGTATTTGATAAACATAAGGAGGTATGTACATGGGACTCTGCCACTGCCACATCCCCTCCTGTCACTCCTACATCTGACTGCCCTTCAAGTCCCCCAGCCTCAAGTCCTGGCCCTTCCCCACATTCTGATACGATGGATATGTCAGACTCTCTAGTTGCCTCCAGACCAAAGCGTGTCATCAAACTGAAGCGATCTTTCGATGATGATGAACCTTTGGTCCGGAAACAGATGTTGGATAAATCTGACATAAAACAGGAGCCTGCTGAGGGACAGTCTGAAGGGGGAGTAAAGGAAGAAGATGGAAGAGCCCCAAGTAAACGTGCCAGAAAAACTAATGAAGCATCATCATCTAAATACTCACCAAGTGAACTTAAATATGTTGATGCCATGATAGATTATAACACATGGACATGTAAGAAATGTGAGAAACAATATGGCAGTGTGTCGAGTCTTAGACGTCATGCAATACGCCACATGGGCTGGAGACGGTTTAAGTGTAAACTCTGTAAGTTTACATCATTTAACAGATCTGAATGTAAAAGTCATTTAAGAAGGATCCATGCAGCTAAGATACGTGGTGTCATTGACTTAACCAAGATGATCACGGATTTAGAGCAAGAACAGACAGTAATTGAGGAGGGTAGCAATTCAAGCAACCATAAAGAAGAAGAGCCTGAAGTGAAGGAACTGCCCAAACCAAGGAAACCAATTTATCTGCTATCTTTAGATGATAAGAAACCAGATGGTGAAACAGTTACAAGTCCTTCTTCATCTGGTGAACAAAGTAATGCAAAATTTAATATTTCAACCCGGAAAACTCCTCGAAAATTTGACATCACTCCATATGAAAAAGATGAAAGTCCAGAAAAAGATCTAAAAGAAGATAAAAATACGTCCCTAGTTACTCGGTCTGGATATTATCCCAAAAAAGTTTTCTTGACACGATCAAAAGAAGATGAAAAGCGTGAACAGGATAAGAAGAAAGAATCCAGCTTCAATAGTGAAGAATACATTAAGAGTGAGGCAAGGGAGGAAATAAGGAAAGTATCCCCCCAGAAAACACCACGTAAAGATCCTTCCCCAATAAAACATCTTGGTGATTCAGAGACAAGAACAGATCATTTAAATGTACAAGATACTTTGAATATGCCCTTACATTCCACGCCAACCCCTAAAGGAAGGCTCATTCCCTCAACTTCAAGCCAGCAGCCCCCAGTCTTAATCCTAGATAAACCTCATTCTGTAACATTAAAGGGGCAACTCCATGCTAAACCCAAACCCCGCCAGAAACCTATAATTCTCTCACAAGCACATTCCCAGCTGACAAATGAGCCTAGAAGACAAGATGTTGAGTGTAAGAATCTGGCTGAAGAGTCTAAGAGACAAACAGAAGACCCTAGAAGACAAGCAGAAGTTACTCAGAATGAGCAGATAGCTGAAGGCAGTATCTATGCCTTTGAGCGAGACAACTGTTCGTGGGAGATGTACCAATTGACAAATGATGTAGCAGCTCATACTGAGGAGACTGTTGTCACGGAAACTGTAAACATAGAAACAGATGAATTGCTTAAGATCATAAACCAGGCTGAACCAGATCCAATGAGATTTATAAATAGAGGGCTTGAGGACAGTTATGAGTAAAATATTTGAATAAATGATGAAATTAAACAATTAATTGTTTCAAACAGAGCCCTTGTAACCTACAGCCTCAGTCACATGTGCTCAACAGCAAGCGTGCAGCGGCCATAGCTTCATAAAATCAATATTGAAAATCGATATTGTACAGTTATCACTATTATTTATGTAGCATATTTCTCTTGATTTTGGAAAGCTATGGTTGCCGTAGATCAAATGTGGATGAGGCATTAATCCTAATTGGCTAACCACGGTGCCCGTGATACGATCTTTATGATCGCAAATGAACTTAAGCCTCTGGTAGTAATGGTAAAAAAACTTTTGAACAAATCATGAAATTCTAATTTAATGTTTCATATTGGTATTTGTATTATGTACACTTTATCCGAATATTTGTGAATCAATACACTTAGCCGTGTACTAGAAAATATTGTACATGTAATTGAGGGAAGAATCAGGGATAAAGGGGTGCAAGTACATGAAGTAGCATTTGCAGTTGAACTAGTTCTAGAACATCTGAAATATGATCTCTCAAAAAAGATAAAGTATATCAAATGAATGGTGCTAGAGGGCTAAACATGAATGTTATAACATAAGAACAAATAATGAATTTTTGATATGTAATAATTATGAAAATGTAAACATTTCTATTTAAATTATGATATCATCTTTTTGTAGAAGTGAAATACAAATTGGAATTGAATTTTTTGTTTGGCTTCCTTTGCTTGCTTGAGGCAATCAACTAAGTATCTGCAAAAAATTTATGAGATGTTAATCTTTTGGTACTTTACATTTTTATAGACTTTGTTGTCATCTACATTGGGAAATAAGGTTTAGAAAATTGTAACTGCTTATATCGTGTTAAACGTGTGTATCTGTTTTTTGTCAGCTCAAATAAAAATCAAAAATTCTTTTGTGTCTCCTTTATTTTTGAACTATAGAAAAAGTATACTGAAAACCCAAGTCAATCATCAATTTGATATAAAAGGCAAGAATTGAAATAGCTGAAGATATGCGCATCATCACGAGGTGTGATCAGAAGATTTTCCACTATGGGAGGTCAAATTATTCATTTAAAAAACTAAGGAAACGTTACCATTTTCCTCGGAGTTGGCAGTTTAATAATGATACATCTGACTCTGAGTGACAAAATATACTGTGATGTTTTCTTGAACAAATCTTCTGATCTAATCCTGTGATCAGCTGTCGTGAAAAGAAAATGCTTCATTCAGGACACAAAGTGTACCTGAAATACACTGACTGAGGCTCCTGAAATGCATGGACCACATAGGCCGGGTGACCTGAAATGCATGGACCACATATGCCGGGTGACCTGAAATGCATGGACCACATATGCCGGGTGACCTGAAATGCATGGACCACATAGGCCGGGTGACCTGAAATGCATGGACCACATAGGCCGAGTGACCCGAAATGCATGGACAACATAGACTCCCATATACTGACAGACTACAAATATTTACTTTTTAAGTATTGTAATTTATTAGGTCTTTAAATATGTCATACAAAGAAGGGAGGAAATAAGCACACAAAATGTAGATTTAATTGATTTACTGGATAACCTTATTAATTGCAGATAGATTTTTAAGGTATTTCTATTCCCTGGTTCATCTTCCATTCACGCGTAAACATAGCTGCAACATCTTGATTGTGCTATTGAAACACTGATCATAAAGATGGGTTAAAGCTGCAGCAAAAGATAGAACGTGTAAAATGTTGAAATATGTTTCTAAAAAAAATTACCAGATCTCACATTTGAAAATCTAAGGGCCCCCTTGCAGAATTATTGCTATTATCTAAAAATCATCCATTTTGTATTTTCATGCGATAACGTCTGCATTGACCTTTTTACATAAAAAGACATACATCTTTGTTTCTCTCAGTTGCTGCCTTTTAACGTGTACACCGTCAAGCGTATCGCTATAGTATAGGGCAGTAGTAAACAGAAAACAATAAAAAAAATATGTAGGCACAGTAGGCCTAAAACAACAGTATGCATAAGAAACTTATATCCGTAAATGTCTTGGATGATCAAGTCTAGAGTTGTACGGATGTTCCAAAGCATATTAGCTTTGATACACTTCCTAAATAGTAAATTACAACCGAGACGCCTGGAAGACATGTAATATAAACTGTAAAAGAGTGAATCTGATATGTCATAAACAGAATTGTGTTGATGAGATCAGTAGAACTAACATAATATAAAAACTATCTGGAAACGGACCGCCAGAAACCATAAAAACCAATAAGAAACCACTAGAAATATCTAAAGTAACAAGATCTTTCCCTTCCATCGGTAACAAGAACTCGGAAACTTAAAGGAGTGGTATCGATATGGAGAACTGAATTCAACAATGTTTTTCTCTTAAACCAATCATTGAAAACATTCTGTAAAAAACACGGTATTTTATGTAATATTGACTGATTGACAACAATTTAATGCCAAAATTATTTAGAAATATTTTATATAACTGTTTTTGTTTTTAGTGCAATTGTTTTTGCTCATTTCTACCAATTCTTGAGAATGAAATAAAATGTCTTTCCGAACCTTTTTGGAACAAAATAGCATATACAACATGTTTTTAGAACTCTCAATATTATAGTTATACAAAGGAATTTTTGGTTGATTTTAAAAAAGTATTCAAAAAATAAAAACAAAATCCCCCAAAATAGATAAAAAATCAAGATAAACCTTTATTTCATCAAGATACTTTTTTAAAATCAACCAAAATTTCCTTTGTACAATTGCTATATTGAGAGACCTAAACATGTTGTGTTTATGTCATTTTGTTCCAATGAGGTTCGTTTCTTTTCACTCTGGAAACACGATACCAAGAACAAAACAAGTGTTCGATGTGTTTTCTAAAACAATACAGATGAAAGTGTATATATTTTTTACTAATTATATTGTTACCATTCAAAATTAAATTGACGATATGTCAAATTTTTAGATTTTTTATGACTGGTTTAAGAGAAACGTGTGTTCAAAAAGTTCTCCATATCGATACCACTCCTTTACTAGAAAAGTACTTGTGTCATTTCGAGCTAAAGTACAGAATAACCTACGATTTATAAAACTCTATTCTAATATAATGAAGTGTTATAGTTTTGAAGATTGAAAAATTAATAAAAAATAGTCAATTAATGTTTATATATATATTTACAATTTGACTTCTGAGTATATGATAGTAAATTCAAATGCGATTTGAGGGATATGGTGTCTTCATCAAAGAAACGGATTTACTAGCACTGGTCTGGTAAAGTGCACCTCAAGATACCTAACTCTAGCCGACTTGCCACTCTTTCCTTTTTGTTTTTCTTGAAAATTGTTTTTCGTGGGATTTTCAAAATTACAAATTAATCCCATAACATTAAGATCTAAAAGGATACATGTCAAGTCCATCCTCCTTGCACCAGCATATTATAAACGTATACTTTCTATATCCCTCAAATCCAGATGATCACTTTTATCCCATGGTTAAATATACCATTACTATTGGATAAAATATAACAATGGGTAATGCTTTAAATCCATGTGCAGATTTAAGTTCTAAAAAATCTTGAATGACGATATCTCGTCACTTGCTAACAAATTGGCTAATTTAAATAAAAATATAGCTGAGACGAAATCAACTTGTGAGTTAATGTAATTATCTAATGCAATGTCGAGAAAGACATTTTGAATCCTGCTCCAAAACTCAAATTATCATGAGACAAGAAACTTACGTCAAATGTTGTCTGACGTTTATACTCAAACCCTCAAAAGTCAGAAATGTGACCAACTGCCTACTTTAGTATTTGCCGAATCAAACAATAGTGTAGCCTGGGTCGGCCATGGGAAGAGGTCCATGATGTAGCTAAAACTTAGTACTCATTTTTACTTTTAGGATCCCTTGCTTTATGGTCTACAACAATGTAATCCAAAAACTACTAGATATAACTAGTAATAAGAATTAGTGTTTCGAGACACCCGCAGGTCATTTTGGCACTTCGATATTTCTATGATGTCATTTGAACTTCCATCGAATTGAAGCCTATAAAGTATGCAGATCAAAATGATAGCGTGACTGCCTTCACAATGAAGATCAGTCATACGCAGACTACACTAAGTGTCTCCATCATTTCAGTGGTGACATAAAACACGACATGCAAAGTTGGCATACAATGGTAGAAACAATTCAAGTGTGTTAAGACTTAGCCATTTTATATACGGTATATCTCTGTGAATCTTGCAAATTATTAACATTTCCAGACATTTTTATAACCGCCATAATGTTGCGGTCCATCTTTTGGTTGGCATCCTCGTTATTGTCAGGTATACTCTCCTGATCTGAGTGGGGGCTGTGTCCACATTCCCTGCAGCTCGGCCAGTGAACACATCCTCTGGGGACACATAGAGCTCTTCTATGCTTGACTTTGTTTACTCTAGCGCCATCATGTTGATAGCGACCACCGCCGATGTCATACATTTGAAGAGCTTGAGGAGGACTACCCTGTCGTTCAACAGAATCACTTGTTACAGTCGCCTCTTGTTCTGGAAAGGTTTCTTCGCAAGTTGGCCATTTAGTTTCCACTTCCGTGTACTCATCTCTATTGCCCCGATTTGCCGTTCCATTATTATGTCTGTGCAATACTTTATTGTTTGAGGTGCTTCTTTGAGTACTGCCATGTTGGCGAGGACGAGGTGAACGAGCTCGGGGTGAACAGGCTCGCCGTATAAACCGGGTAATGCCTTCCTTCCATGTAGTCTTTCGCTTTTGTGAGTCATAGCGTTCCATAAGCAGTAGCTGGTGCGCAGCTTGCGTCTTTTTCTGATTACTATCCTTCGAAGGTATATATGTTTTCTCCTCTGGGTGTATTAAAGCTGTCTTTCCATTGCCACTAGAGTTCGTTGTTTTACGTTGTTGATCCTCGTCGCCTGTCGTGTCAATATCATGCGCATGTGTTTTATCAAGGATGGCATCTTTACCACGAAATGTGACATCCGTGATGGACCCGTTGGACTCAGTATCCTCTATTGCTAATTCAGCTTTTGCAGAAGCTTTTATCATATTATTATTGCCATTGGAAGCAGCTATTAAACTGGAAGAATCATGGGAAGAAGCGAGGGTAGCTGGCAGTGGGGCTTGCATAGCTGGACCATTGACTTCCTCTACGGGCTGATCACATGCAGGTTCTCGTTCGCTAGGTTTTTTACACTTTGCCCTTGGGTTGACAAATTTATTTAGCTGGCTACTAAGCTTTGATCTACCTTTGATACGTCCATTAGATTGTTTGGTTGAGCGAAGGTTGGAGTGCCAAGCAGTACCATTTTTTGATGGATATGTAGTGGAGTCACTTTGGAGGTCATTAGAGCAAGCCAGAAGTCTCTCGGTGGAAGCATTAGGTATATCACAGGCATCAACTTTATTGATCATTTTATTAATAAGATACGTTTTAGAATCTGTCAATTTTATCTCAGATATCTTTCTTTCTAAACTCTCCTCGTCGATACAGTAATTGGTGGGTCTATATGGCTCGGGCTCCTCAATATCAAATTCAAAGGGCATACTGTCATTAATACATGGGTAATCACCGGGTCCCATTTTGGACAAACACTGCAATTTTTCATCATCTGAGGCATTAACTAACTGCAAAGGGTCATCACCCTTGGGGAATTCAAACATATGATCAGGTTCATCAAGGTCATTAGCAGGACTTGGAGTATATCCGATACTAGACATGGTCTCAGAAACTGCTTTCGGAGCAAGTTCCACCGGTGAGTGGGCCATGTATCTAAAATCAGTCCGCCAGTCTGAGCTGTTATTGCTGTCTGTGGTAGATAGTGCTGGTGCAACTGGAGGAGGTATGTATGCATATTTTGAGATGGCTCCTTTACTTTTGTCCGGTTCCAAACCACGTTTAGCTTTTCTATTCTGACTTTCATTTGGTATTTGCTCCATTCTTAGAGTTGACGGTCTACATGGGGGAGAAACCCGAGTTTTAGATTTCTCTGGAAACCCGTTATTCCTAGCCAAACTACTACTATTACACCTATGGTGGGCGGTTGGTGGGTGTTTGTTATTATTCACTATGTCTTTATCAGGGACTTTATAAAGTTCCCCAATTGATGTTGAGTTTTGTCCGTGCGCTCCAATATTGTCTACTATCGATGCTTGAAATAAAGGTGCAGGTATTTTGCTGGGACTTTTAGGCCTTGGGTGAAGATGGGCTGCAATGGATAAAGCAGCCATGGGTCTGTCGGCATCGTTAGCAGTATCTCCAAGGAGCGACTGATGGACCTGGCTCACTTTCTGCGGTTGCCTCAAGATTGGAATCAGTTTAGAACTACTGGTATTAGGGCATACATCATACGAAGTAGACTGCACAGGGTCTTGAATCTGGCGTGTTTCTGAAGTGGTATCTTTAACAAATCCATTCTCCTCAACTCTTTCAAATTTTTCCTTTAATGTTACCTTTCTGGGGCTGGAGTCGTCATTTTCTGAGATGTCTGTGTCGTGCGTGTTTTGTCGCATGATATGCCTCCCATGAGCTACTCTCAGATGTTGTCTCAGCGTATGGTCCTGCTCAAAGTAACCCAGATCTCTTTTCTTTTCATCCAGCATCATGTTATACATTGCAGATACCTCATCTGACTTGTACTCGTGTACAGTCCTTTCAACTTTTTCTCTTTCCATATCCAACAGTTTAGACATTTCCTCTATGACCTGGAAGAACAAACCATATGCATGTAATTAGTATTCTTATGCTATTTACTAGCAGTTATCTATCTTCAAAATAATATTGAACTGTTTTTGATTACCTAAAAGTCCATACAGACATAACTATCCACATCTTAAGAATCTCAAATGTATATTTAGTTGGGCAATGTCTTCCAATTATAGTCGGATCTAACAGGTTGTTTTAGCCTGATCTAAGGTTTCTAACTTACTTGACGAGACCTAAAGCACAATATTGATCGGCAACTTGACTATCTTAAGTACAATGCCATTATGGGATCTAGGATTAAGAAAAGATGGGATCAACATTGTGAAAACACCCCCAATGTTCCACGGAGACAGACTCTTTGACTCTTTAGTTTTCAAAAGAGTAGCTCAATTAGTTAATGAACACTTCAAGTGGTGTTCAGAAATGCTATCTAACAAGTATGATCAAAATGATGGTTCTGATCGGCTGTCCCGACATGAATGTACATGTATCTGGAAAAGTTGTCAATCACTCTTTTATTGTATTCATCTCTTGGGTCTTATTTTCTGCAGTAGATCTGGGAAATTAGCAACCCATAGTAGTAATGTTTTGGATGCCGAATGATCGTGCATTCAGTCATACAGTCATAGGAACCATCATTTTCACCCGCATTGCCAGTAAGAATTGATTCGTACTTGAGCACTGTTGGACTACTTTAGGGAGACAGACGTATGATGTAGACCGTAATGGCTCTAGTAAAATGGTGCTGTATCACACACTCAAAATCAGCCATTACAATGGCCAACAAGACTCTTCTGGAAGAGGACCATAAACCGTTGCCTGCTAAACATATGGGCTGTTTGGTAAACTGGTAAAGTTGAAGGTCAGTGCCTGTTTTGACACTCTTAACCATTGCAGAACAAACAATAACTCCCAAATAATATAGTTCAATTATACAACAGAGTGATTAACAATGCCTAATGCATTCAAGTGCGCTAGCGAATCATTATTGAACCATGTCTTAATTTAAGCATGTAGAATTCCTGAATCATTCATCACATTTAAACCAAGCTCTGGAAACTATTTATATTGACTGTACAGGGACAATAAAAAACATTAAAAAACTCGGGGTCGTTTTGGGGGGTCAACCTTTACAGGGTTGGTGGGCAGCCCGATCTTAAAGGATTTGAGTTGAATTCATTCAATACTGGGGCAAAAAGCACTATAATACTGACGATATTTTGAAAATTGCCATATATGGTACCTCTGAAATAATATATATTGTATATACATGGGCATACATATATAGTGTTATATATCATTTTAAAGCATATGATATACTCTTTCAGAATGAATAGTTTTTTAAGTCCCATTTTATAAGTTGTCATGGTTACAAGATTCCAAAAAATACATTGGGTTTGAACCGAACGTATTCATGGTATTGGTGATGTGGCAGTTGTAAATTGTTCAATTTTAGTTGATAGCCTGAATCTCGAAAGGTTATGACTTGACTACCCAAAGAATAACAAGGTTTTACAGTTCATAGCTCGCCTGATCTTAGGTTATGACTTACCAACTTAAACACATTTTGTTGGTTGATTGATGGGAAGCAAATACGCCCGTCCATATGAATTAAATCCAGTCATAAGAATTCCAATTTTAAATATAAACATTTTGAAACTTCATCAACAATGCACTGGTAACGTCTGAGACAGAACTACATAACTTAGAGCAAGTATGCATTTTATATTGTATACTAAAATCAGTATAAATCAGTTACTGAATTTACAAGCGTTTTGGAAGGACTCCCAATAGCCTAGTTTATAACAAATTGAACACAAGTGCCCTAATATTTCAAGTTTCCAATAAGAACAGACTATGCGAAGGAAAAAAATTGACAATACATATGAATCAGAAACAACCGTGTTGATTGTGTCACGGTAGTCTCCTCCGCATCATGAGATATTATGGCCAAAATACGAATTTGTATTTCTGTATTTCTATATGTCTTACTTCTTGCTCCACTCTTGCTCTTTTGACTAAACCTGATTGAAAGCTAGTGGACCTTTCACTTATTCAGGAATGTTTTCATGGAACGGTTATTTATAGTTGTTGTTTTATATTGGTGTTCTGGCTTTGTGTATGAGTTTGTGACTTACGTGCTGATATTAATGAAAGCAATTTAGGCACGATTCATAGGTAACAAAGAGTGTGCTTAGAATCCTGGTTGACTTATTGACGACGTTATTGATTATAAAATGCAATGGGATAAATACCAAAAACACGCTATTAAAATCATAATACACACGAACGCTGATTAAATAATATATTGGTGTGTCATCAAAAGAATTCGAAATTTATTTTTAACATTTATCTCTAAAGTCAAGTCGCAAATGATGACAAGTGTCAGTTTAATACCACCAGGTCCCAATATTGTCTGATTAATAATTTAGCATACTAGTAACAGGTTTCAGTTTTATCATTATGACTTAGCAAGAAAAACATCGATCAAGGTTATCACCATGATCGGGAAATATTTTGTGAATACGCAGATAAATAGTCACTCTGTTTCTTGTCACACGGAGCAGCCATTTTGGGAGATGGGGTCACAAATGCACTGACAGCTCCCAGTTCTCTTCCTTTTTGTTCTTTTTATGTTGAGTTGAACATATACTGCGTGCATAATGATTTTTATTGTCTTTATACAAGCTATACTAACCAGAACATTTCTCTTGGGATCGATTTCCTGAGTGCTTTTGTTTTGTAAAGTATACAACTGCTTATATTAGACTAGACAAGCATTTATAGGTTTCATTTTCATAATTCTTGATTCTTGATATTACTTTTACATTCCAGATGAATGGAGACTAAAAGTAAAATTAAAGAAAATGCCCGGGCTTAAGTATGAGCCATATATAGTATTTTTACCTGAGATCTAATTGTTTTGTCTCTTGGGGGAGGTTGGTATGGGTAGAATGGTGACCTCCCGCCCTTTGTGGTCCACGCGTGGATCTCAATTTCCAGCAAAGGGAGCCTCAGTTCAGCATTAGGCTCAATCAACTGACGAAGAATGTTTTTGCAATCTGTTGTAAGGTAGACCATCTCCTTTTCATGATACTGTGAAAGTCCCTTGTTGATTTGTTGGAGGAGTTTTTGTCGGCGGTACTGGTCAGTGTATGGCGTCGTGAATGGAAGTCGACCAACAACAAGGGCATACATAATCACCCCTAGACTCCAAATATCAACCTCTGGCCCATATGTCTTGCCTTGAATAAACAGCTCTGGCGCCGCGTACTCGGGGGATCCACAATGTGTCTTCAACTGATATTCTTTGTTATAAATGTTGCTCAGTCCAAAGTCGATTATCTTTATATTTTTCTTACTCTCATCAAGCATGATATTTTCCATTTTCAGGTCTCTGTGGACTACATCACGATCATGGAGATAATGAAGAGCGGAGAGCATCTGGCGAACATACGGCCTCGCTTGTGTCTCAGTCAGCCTAGCGTCCTTCTGAGTCTTGATGTACGCAAGAAGTTCCCCTCCCGCCGCGAATTCCGTCACTAAACAGTACAGCGTTGTTGCTTTTAATGTCTCAAACAATCTAATGATGTTTGGGTGTCTTAACTGTGCCATGATCCTCGCCTCACGGTGGAGATTCGTCTTAACATAATCCTCCTTAATCTTACGTGTATCAATTATTTTGATGGCGACCTTACAATGAGCAATGTTGTGTATGGCCAATTCAACACGGGCAAAATTGCCCTTCCCCAATGTCCGGGCCTCCATGACATATCGGCCGATGTAACGAATCTTCCTGCCCATGACTTACGCTTATTCTTGTCACTCCATTGCTGCATGCCAACACATAGCTACATCATATCATCATTAGCCCAGTTTCCGTGAAGCAGCAATATACGTATACATACACAGTATTGATTTTCATAATAAAATTCCAATAGCGAAACGCTCCTCATTGCCGTATGTCGCTCTGAGATAGCTTTACGGAAATATTGGATGTATATAACGGAATTGACCTGTGCTATTAGAATTCATGTGAGCAACTATGATAATATTATAAACCACTATCCATTTGAGATCGATTTTTGTTATATATATTGTAAAAAGATGTTTACAGTAGTAAATTAGAAGGGTAGTTTTATTTGTTTTCCTTGAGCTCTCGAGGCTTACTCTGATTGAAATCCTTATAATTCATAAATATTTTAAAATCAATTTTTAATATACAGGCATTTGTATCCTGGGAATAATGTTATGTATTGGCGTATTCTACTTTTGGCTTACATACTTTATATTGTTAAAGGGATCTGAGCTTCGTTGTCTAATGTCGCAATTTGTACCTTCTCATCCGAATCATGTAAATTTAGACTTAGTCCATCTCAGCATCTTAGCAAACCTCGCATCGATTATTAATTAGCGTGGCAAACATTACTTATTAGACGATCGATACTAACTAATATCCCACCATGCACCGGGTGCTATCTAATGTCGATTCAAATTGATCAGAGGATGAACATCCAATTTTGTCTGATTTCACGATTTCGATCGATTTATCGTGAATATTTACAAAATGTTTGCAACCTCCTCAAACGATCACAACGATTTTCTGTCCGATCGAGGCAATCAGTACTGTAGAAGTATGTAAAACCTTCAAATAAAATGAAATGTAACGCAATAAAGTACAATTACATTTTCAATATAGAACAATGCAACCCAGTACATCGAAATATAATACAATGAAGTGCAATGCAATACAGTGTAACTCAATGCAGTACAATGTAATATAACACAATGCTGTTCAATAATACGATTCGATGCAATCCAGAATAATACAATATGATGCAATGTACAGTATAAAGTATGCAGTAGTACAATGCATTTACAGTTTAAACCTTATGGAATACTAGCATTTTTTCCATTTTATCTCTCATATAGATACGTTAAAGTAATTCTTGATAGCAAGAATCTATCCTAACAAGTGATGCAAACTTCATAAATGATGGCGTCCCTCAGGGCCCTATTTTGGATCATAACTCTTTCTGATATACGAGTATATATCTGAGCTTGCAGAAACTTAACAAATACTAGTAAATGCTATATTTAGGCAGATTGCATCTCTTTGCCAATTATATTCTAAATCAAAAACTTGACTTCAATTCCATTTTTTGTGGTCTCAAACATGGAAAATGAATTTTAAAGCAACAAGTGAAGAAATTAAGTTGAGATCTGAACTTAAACTTGGAATTGATATAATACCTTCGACAAACTTTTGACCAAAATATCAATCCACCAACTAAAACACGAACATTTTAACTCAATAAAAGCACGAGTAAAAGTCAGTGGAAATCACCTTACATTATTTTTCAAATCTGTTACGTTTTTCCAGTTTCTTACTGCAATGACATCTTGCGTGGATGTGCAAATACCGCAAAATTGAAACGTATAATTTTATTACAAACCTTTCCCCTGTCTGTATTTGCCTAAAGCTAAGCCCGAAGTGCTTAAATTGGACACAGGGATTGTTAGATCACTTCACAAAATTTTCGACCATTTGCAATATTTTACTCTTATTCAAACAAAGAGTTACTTACCATGAGTTTAATTTATAATTACTCTTCTGATAAGTCCTTGACAAGAAGTAAAGAAGTTAGACTGCTGCGATACAGATATATTATACCCTACATGCAAATATGAGTGTAATAATGAAATATCACAATGCATCGCACATTCGTTCATGTAATGTTCTCTTGCATTTAGATCACAAAAAAACATCTTCAAGACTTAGATCGACTAAAACCGACGATACAAACTATCATTTTTATAATTACAGCTATAAAATACGCAATGTCACGAATGTATTCATATATGAAATACGTGACCAGGTAAATACTTGATTATTTCTTAAAACATAACAAGTTAGTTGTTTGCACAAATCGCTGTCGCTGTACAGAGCATTGAAAAAACATAATGGTAGCTGAACCATCTGGACCGCACGTACACAACACAGAACAAAACCGCCTTAGATGTTATATTGGGGCCTATTCAAACTGTATTAGTGCATTGAGTCAGATAATATTCAATGAATAATTTACGAGCACTTTTTACGACTGGGATAAGTGATCTATAAACAATTTTATCAGCTTATGAGCACGGGTTAATATTCTTTTCTACACTGTTTTCTAGGTTTCTAGGGCTGGGGTTCATTTTGTGTTGTTGAAAAGGTGCAGAAACCAACACCCTCTAAAGGTTGCTACGCCGCGAGTTTCATTGATCAAAATTAGAGCTGGACAGTTTTTTATCGTGTTGTTTTGGGGAGATGTAGGTCTAATCCCACAGACGCATTAGGGTAGTCCCAGCCAAGGTGTAATCTGACTTAATGCATACTGACATGATGAGCGAGCCTACAGGTATAAAATTTAACACCAACATTTCATAATCTCCCGAAGGATATAGATCCTCTCCCGGAGGAGTTACCTTTAGCAAATAAATGATTCACACAACAGTGAGTATGTGAATGAGCATCAAGATGCCAGTAGCAGTAAATTGCTCCGTTCCTGACGTTTTCCATCTACTTGCAGAGATGCTACAGCGATGCAAACAAAATGCAGTTTTTCATTTTTCAATATCAGGAAAACAGCAGAGCCAATGAGTGCATATTTGCATGATGTAAAAAAACCTAACACAATACAGTTTTTGCTGTGCACAAGTTAATATGAGCCAAATAGCTAGTAGTGATACTAAGTTACTAACCCATTATTAATGAGGAAAAGATTCCCAATGTTATACAGAACATTTATTAAAGCAAATGCAGTATTTTTATGCATATTTGATATGGGTGTTTATGTTCGACTATGTGAGTGGTTTACGACTTCGAGGTCACCAACATAGTTATGTTTTAATATGATAGAAGTACTACTGTGTTTTGGCTAGTATTTACAGTACAGGAAACGAGGGTTTGGTTAACGTGATCTCATACACACAAGTAAAAAACGACATTCTCTTTGCGACCGAAAATAGATACAAATACATGTACTTTGCCTGATAAACTGAGAAGAATTTAGATAGGATATAAATACTGAAAATGGCAGGAGTGGAAGATGGCGTTGAATTAAAGGATATTAAGAAGATTGAGGAAGTGAATGACCAACCCCTGCCTAAAAAGGATGACGATGACGTGATTGTAGAGGTTAGCAATCCCGAGGTAGCCGAAGCTGACCCAAAGGATACTGACAAGTTTCTCCCTCGTGAAACTAAGAATGGGACTAAGGCACAACCAGAGGTATAGATAGATTTGGGCATTGCATTCCCTGCTTAAGACTGCATTTATGAAAAATGAATGGAGCAATACCGTTTCTTTCAGATTTCATATTATGGTTCCCATTGGTTTTGTCATGGTCAATTCTAATTTCATATCATCATGCAGGCCCGTAGCCAGGGGGGGGGGGGGGGGCTCTGGGATGTGGACCTACCTTTTTGCTTCCTTGAAGAAAAAACTTGCTCTTCCCCACATTCACTGGGCAATTAAGATTTTAAAACTGGCATTACTGTGCATTGTTTTTCGAATTTGGGCATTAGTTTTTCAAAAGTTGGCCCAATTCTTTTCATGGACATATTTGTGCCCCTTTCCCTCTTTTTTATGATCGTCCTTTGTGTTTTGTTAAACATAGCCCTAGGATGGGCCCGGAAAGAAATGTTGGCCCAAACATATTGTAGGGCCTCTTTAGTGGGCCATTTTGGGCATTACTTGACCTTTTGGGCCTTATTTTTTCAATTTCAGGCCAAATTTTCAAAAACGGGCTATTAATTTACGGGCCCTAAAAAATTTTACGCGCAGCCCTAGGACGGGCCCCAAAAAAATGTTGGACAAAAAATATTGTATAATCATTAAATGGGCCTTTTTTGGCATAACTTGACCTCTTTGGGCCTTATTTTTTCAATTTTAGGCCAAATTTTCAAAGAGCGGGCCATAAATTTTCAGAATTTTGGCCAAAATTTTGGTTTTAGGGCCCTAAATTTTTTTCTCTTGACTGGTCCTTTTTGGGCATTACTTGACCTTTTTGGGCCTTATTTTTTCAATGTTAGGCCAAATTTTCAAAAAACGTGCCATAGATTTTCTAATTGTTGTTCCAAATTTTGGTTTTAGGGCTCTAAAAAGTTTTTCCGCGCAAGCGCGGATATTTTTTCCTGACATGAAGTGTGGGTCCCCCTTTCTTAGCTTCCGGATCCACCACTCCTTTACAATACAAAGGGGCTTGGTTTAGCATGGGGAATTTTTTTTTTTTTGGGGGGGGGGGGTTGCGGGGGGGGGGGTTCGAGCCCCCCCTTACAAAAAGCTGGCTACGGGCATGTCATGTGATCATTTTGGGATCCACATCCTACTATCCTTCAAGCACTTGCTGTACCTCACAAGATAAAGGACTAGTTTAGATAGTTTAAATAAATTGGAAATTCATTTGTTAATTTTTCAAATTTGTTAACGAAAACACGTCTCATAGCCTGTGTAATGGAATATATGACTATGGTTTTAGCCATTATTTGATGAATATAACTAGACAGTCAAAACAGTATATAGGATTTGAAGTTGTACTTTTAAACTAATCTAGTTAAAGTCAGCTGAATTTCATATGTGTCCATTATGAAAACGTAACGTAGCCTATGTATGACAAAAAGTCCAAATATTTTAAACATAGTATCAAAATGTTTGGATGGCTTTAGGGTTCACTACTTGAAAGCATGATTGCCAAAGTTAAACATTGGCATTCAGTCAACTGCCCAATATTCATATAGTTTTTCCAAGTTCATTGCCAAGTGTGAAAAATAAATTATGGTCAATGGAAGTCCGGGAATAAAGGGATAGGAGTTAGGAGCAAGTTTCGAAAATATTGTCGTAATTTCAGTCAATTTACTCTTACCATTCCATGTCATGTCATGATTCAAGACTACTTTCTCAAAAATACGGTTCTGACTTCTGTATTTAGAAAGATTGTCTGGCAATAGTTGCATCTTGAAGGATAAATAGATCTAGTTGTAAAAGAGGACATTTCATTTTTCCCGAATTTAAGTCTTCATCATATGTCTCAACTATTTTTCAGGAATTGAGGATAGTGTAAGGGCATCTATACATCCAAAAAAAGCAAACGTTCTAAAAAAAATTTAAAAAATGTTTAAGAAAAAAAGAAAAATTGATTCAGCCCGAACAGGGACTCGAACCCTGGACCCTCAGATTAAAAGTCTGATGCTCTACCGACTGAGCTATCCGGGCAGCTCGAGTGGTAGTGTGTTGATAATGTATTTAAACACGCCTGCTGATAAAAGGTTTTTTAATCAATATGTGCGCCAAATCATAAGCTTTCTCTCGTCTGATATTACTTGATGGAATTTGGAATAAACAAAGCAACTATTTCGTTCAATGTTTGGGCAAAACCTGTTCACTGTTGCTCTTTCAATAATTTTTGCAGTGAGAAGGCCAGGGAGAAGGCCTATAGGAACACCCGTATGTAGAATGAAATATTTGTTTTGTTACACCATTGCTAGCTGAGGCCCGGGTATACAATCATTAAAAATCAGTATTATTCTTATTCAATGTAAGTAATATAGTAAATATAATATATACATGTATACACCACGCATTACCAACTCAGTACACTAGGGAACTTTTTAAACATTTATTGCTAGTCTACGATTACTCGAGTCTCTAGCTTACACGGAATATAGGCTTTGGACCGAAGTAAGTCTACGATCACTTTGCGTTTCCGAAAAATATAGAGAATATTTGTTTTAATCTGTGAACGTTTATTTTAATTAAAATTATCATAAACCCAAAATTTACATAATTCATATTATGTACACTTCTGTTATGTACAGGTATTGCTAAAGTACAGTTCTATTTTCGTCCAGTGCAGTTGTCTGAATTCCCGGGAGGGCAATATGTTTTCTAATCCAAAAAGGAAACTGTGAAATACGCTGTGGATTTTTTGATCACATGAAACTGAGTCAGCCAATCAAATCACACAATTTCTACGAATTTAGATCTATAGAAATATAGTTTTTTTTATAATTTTGGATTCTATCGGTGCCGCTAAAAGATATTTCACTTTTTGTGATTTTGTAACATGGGCTCTATGGAGAATCAAGAAGACACACTTTCAAAAATAATTAAATTTTCAAACTAGTAGATAATTTTCGAAACTATATTTCTAGATGTACTTTTACATGTAGATTTCGAATATAACATCGCTTTGACTGAATTTTGAATATTTCATGGCGTAAATCAAGATTTTTTCTACTCGCATCTATAATGGGGAGTAAAATACAGATCTAGCCCGAACAGGGACTCGAACCCTGGACCCTCAGATTAAAAGTCTGATGCTCTACCGACTGAGCTATCCGGGCAACTCATGCAAGAGTTCAAATGCACCGAACAGATTAATCATTAATCACTTATTTCATATTATACTATTCAAATAAATGTTTACTCATTAGTGATAACCACAGTTACAGTCCGATCCAAAAATAAAAGACACCTGGAATATTTGGCACAGTTTGCTGAATTTGAACATTTGATGTGCCAAACACTCCTCCATTGCTAGAATATATACTCCTGTAAATGATTATTAGCAGAATAAATGTCTCCAAGGCTTTATATCAGCATATACACTTGTGAATTCATTTTTCAAATGGCAGCCATTGTTTTTGTAGTCTCAAACAAAAATGAAAATTGTTCAATTTGTATATCTGGTAATGGTATTGTATCAATTGATTGATAAAGACATATAAAGTATGGTATAATACATATTATAGTTGTGTAAGTGGTGAAATGTTATTTTAAAATGAATTGTTGTAGAATTGTTTTTGACACTATGCACAATTATTTTCAAAAATGGTGGACATTTAACATGTGGAAATCACTTCAAATTTTTAAGATCCCAATGGTCATTATGGACACAAATTCCACCATACTTGTATTTTCCAGAATGGAGAAAATATAGTACTTAATTCCCTGAGGTAAGAAATTTATTATGTAGTATATGTGCGACAGAATGTCTTTTTGAAACCGATAGTAATTATTTATGGATCTGACTGTACAACACGAATGACATTGCTCACTTTTTAAATTTAGTTTCCATGCGTTATCCAAAAAATAATCGAGATAAATTAATATTGGATGGAGGGGGGGAGTAACGTGCACATAAGACATGATAAGACACGCTACTTGAATTTATTCGTATAACTCCAAATTTTCCCATTTTTCATTCTCCAGAGATATAATATCAGGTTTCTTACTGGGGTACTGAGTTTAGTTTTTTCAAATACACGAGTTCTTTTAAATGTGTTCAATCGTAAAGACATACAACCCCCCCCCCCCTCCATCTAATATTTATTTATTTCGATTATTTTTTGTATAACGCATGGAAATCGCCTACTCCCGCCCCCCCCCCCATCCTTGTTGCAAGGATATTTTACAAGTATATAAGTGAATTTAAGCATAAATGAAGTCCTTTGAAGAAGGATGCCCCCCCTCCTCCATCCATTTTGTACGATCACCGGGCGTGATTCTATTATATTGAATATTAGATAGATGGTACTGGCTGTGCTCATAACCCGGGCTCATAATCCACGATCTAGTCCGAGACACTGCCATGGGAGTTCGGACTAAGCGCTATTATAAAATATATATTCTGATACTCATCACATCTTTCTGCCTCCAACAAGAAATAAGCTAAGGCCATGATTTCTCATGATGTATAATCCTGGAAATTCTAATTCTAATCGAAGCATCAGTTAATCAGGTCCAAGTATGCTGTGGACCAAAAAGAAAGGATTTTACTCGCGCCTCTACCGCGGTACCTTCACCTGAAAAAATCGATTTTTTTAACGAAAACTCACGCGTTAATCGTAGTGAAACGATGAAAACATCTCAGGATTTTATCCATATCCATGTCTTCTTGCCGAGCCCCTATGACAGCATACTAGGGTGTAATTCCGAGGTGTAAAATGTTTTACTTATAACTTGTCATCGCTAAAAAGGTAGGACAATGTCAAAGTGCACTTATAGTCATGTTTACTAACATGTAACTAACATGTAAAACTAACATTGAAGTATAGTGAATCATTCATTCAGTTTAAACTTTAAGTAAAACGACGCAAATATCATTACTGGGAGGGTTTAGTCTAACATGGTCCATTTCGACGGAAACAGTCGGGGTATCGTGGCAACGGATGGTGAGGATGGCATGGAGAAAATCAATCTAAAAGTGATATCTGTAAAGAATACCGGATCGGGAGATGTAACATCGGATGTAAGTTAATAAAAACCGGCTACAGTCGATGTTCGAGGCCGCCATTTTCTTGTAATCCAGAATTCACAGTGTTTACAGTGGCGTAGCGTCGTTTACGCAAAGTACGCAAATGCGTCCACTAGAACAATCCAATGTTTATCTGAATATTTGGAAATTCTAAATTTCTCAAGTTTTAATAAGCAAAGCCATTGTCCAACCTTATCATTTCGTATCTTTGAACAGGGTTCAACCATAGAAATTAGGTGTTTATTTTAGTCCCGGCATGTCATTAATGATTCTTTCAAAGTATACTCTCATAATTTCGTGAATACTCTTATGTAATCCATATGACAATGGCTGCTCATGTGCCGAATCCAGCTCCACTTCCTGGATCCTAAATAAATTAGCTAGATTTCTCCATTCATTCTTAACGATACATTAAATATTTTTGCTTGAATTTCTACAAGACTTATAATGAGTACTTATGAGTAAATTTCAAGTGGAAATGAATGCGTATCGGGTAAACCCCCCCCCCCCATCCCAATTTTGGAATTTTGCGTCCCCTAGTAAAATTGCCACTACCCTGCGTGCAGAGTCTAGTTAAACTACAGACGAAGACGAAGCTCTCTTTTAAGAAGTGAAGTCAAACGAATGCAAAGGGTAAATTGCCACGCTACGCCAACGCCACTGGTTTATCGTTTTTGTGACCATGAGGAAAGGTATATTTAGATCCATTCATTATCTGTCAACTCAACAATTATAATTAATTAAGTCAATTGGAAGATTAATATTCCCCATATTATTTCCTTATGGAGAATACTCATGCTATACATTGCTTTCAGTTCATTCTGGTCATCAAAATTCAATATCTTTAAAGTCCCCGGAGCAATCCACCTTTCCTCTGGAAAATAAAACATGACTCATCGGACATTCTAATTATGCATTAAACATGATAATAAAAGGTTGCCTTTTCAGTGAAAATTAGGTTGACATTTCTTTTTGAAAAAGTATGTTGATGGGTTTATTGCCCCTTCAATATTATTTAGTCTGATTGACATAATTAATCATTATAGATACCTTTCTTGGAGATGATGAATGGATCTAAAAGATACACATGTCTTCACGATCAGAGAATATTCATAATCCAAGATATAATCGTCGAAATTGTTTGCGACAACGTGGCTCTTTTCAAACACGTTGAACGAAAAACACTCTTAAGTATGCTTAGTGTCAATCTTGGCTAGTATTTTTAGTAAAATTAAAAATGTGTAAAATTGACAAAACTGTTAGCACCCGTCTTGTTACTTTTGGGACGCCCTGTAGTTAGCATATGCAAACGCTAGCAGCCCTAAAGGTAACTTGGACTTGGTTTCAGACCTCATTTGGCATATTTGGGGCTTTTTTTTCGAATTACAATGGCCTTTTAATTGTCTTATATAGGACTATCATTAGATCTGAGTCCTTCCTCACCTATTTGATGGATTCTGTAATGCGACCTGTACATTTGGCGTAAATGGCGACAGCCCACTTCTCATCTTCTGAGCCTTGTCTGCCATTTTCTAACCTAACACATCAAACGAAACCTCTCAGTGATCTGTTTCCGTGTATTTTCAGGCACAGCGCGAGAGTCTTGTGCTCAGAGTCGAGAATAAGGTGGCGGAATTCAAGCAGACCCACGACATCAGGACGATCCGACTGGTAATAGCTCTCTTCCTAGTATTCCTGGTGCTTATGACACTTGTGGCTATCGTGGTGGCATTGAAGGTCACAGCCACACACAAATTTGACATCCATTGTCAGTTCAACTCTACGACAAACCTGACATCGTGTGTGTCAAGCCCAAGTAAACTGCAGTAGATCTAGGCAGTGCAATGACTTTAAGGTTGAATGTACTAGTCTGATAAAGATTGATGTGCAAAATCAAATTCCAATCAAGGCCTTGTCATGTCATCCGTAATATCATGGGCTTTCAACTAGAGCCCATGGTAATATTTACAGACATTGATACATAATGTCGACGTACAATCATATGTATGCCCTTATAAACTTTATATAAACATAACATAATATTATGATATCTAAGGCGGGGCGACTAGATGGAAGATCCGAGTTGAAGTATCAGATTTATTAAATATGAATTAACCACTTGCTGGATGACAACATCGTTGGCCAGTTGGCAAATACCTGGAGTTGAAGGAACAAGCGAATTTGGAAACAGGTGTAAACCACGAGAAGCACATTTCAGACCAATATCTCCCGTAAAACATTCAAAGTTTCTCTCCAATACTATGACAGGCCCGAAACCCCGTTCCCTTTGGCCAAAAACTCTTTCCAAATCATGTGCAGTGAGTCATATGGTCAAATTTGACCAACCTTCTGTAATATTTTTAAGACCCCCCCCCCCCGGAATAAGCAAAATCTGGCTACGGGCCTGTATGGGAGCCAGCGAGTTCGAGGCCACAGCCTTGGACATCAATCATTGTGGAATCCACAGCCTGATTGATGTTGCATTTTATCAAGTGTGTAACCAGTATATGTCCGACTTGACACACGTATTTTTATGATTATACTGTAACTGGTGTGTATCTTGTATATGTATATTATGAGCTTTTGAGTTTAAGGGACTCAAGAGACGGGCGGGAGACAAGTAATCATATTTTGGTTATTCATGAATCTGGTAAATTGAACTAAACAATGCAATGGCATATTTATAACGCAAGAAACAAAAATTGGAAGATATTTTCCCATCGATAGTAATTTACTTAAAAGAGACAGTACTTAACGGATAGTATAGGAGCAGCCATACTGAGCTCTCGTTACCTTTCAGAGGGAGCCATGATTCAAAGATGAGCCCCTAGGCTCAACTTTCATGTGGAACAAATGTTCATCTTTGAATCCTGGGTTTAACATTTCTACTTTACGATATTTCTGTGCTCATTTCGTTTCTTTTATATTATGCTCCAGATGAATTCTCTAAATTGGCTATAAATCTGAAAATAAGGAGTTCTCTTTTTCATTTGTGTTTGAGGACTCGATCATCATTCAATAGTACGTTGTCTCTGGGCATTGTTCTTCACCCCAAGCACCCAACCTGAATCATTGTAAATGTTGATCCTAAAAGACACAATCCAACCAATTGATTATTCTGCCATCTATTGACAGTCCTAAAAGCTGAGTGAAAATCAGACACCTCCACATGATCGTAAAAAATTGTATCCATTCTTTGGAACAGGTGACTTTTTCAGAAATTAATGATGGCAAGGTGCTATGTCAGATCATATCTATTTTAATGATCTACTGTCGTTTGATGCCACATTCATACACGAGAATTTCATATTTGATTTACATGTGTGTTTTCCATTGCTATATATATACACTTTATACTTTTATATAATAGTACACACCGATTCGAGTTTTTATCTCAAATATCTCATATATTTCATAACTGGCTATAAATTGTATGTAAGTGTAAAGTGTAATATCTTTTGTAACATCGACTGCTATTTTTAATAGACTTGCTATTATATATTTATACAAACACTATATTGTGATAATGCATGTGAATTGTGTATTTTTAAGGTATTCTTAATAAATATATCAAGAAATATTGGGTAATCATCTGCGTTTTGTTCATATGATATGAAAATAGTGTTCCTCTGAAATGAAAGAAATGTAACAGCCAAAAGAAGGTCCGCCGACTGACTTTTCAAAAAATGGAACCTACGTATTTTGGAAAATAGTCCCAAATGAGATCTCCTATTTAATCAGACCCAATTTTGGAACACTAAAAATGTTTGTAAATTCGAATTGAATCGAAAACGATGACTGCATGGACTGCACGGTCTCTCAAAAATGTTATATGGATAAACGCCTGAAACTCGGGACTCAATTATCATTTGCGCTATTGCTATAGTTACAAGAAGGATGACGGGCTTTTGATCAATTTCCTATGTATAATTTTCTTAATTTCCCAATGTTTTTTGGAACACCATTCACATATTAATTGAATATTAACCAAAGATTATATCACTTGAAAATGAGGTCCCCGGATGATGCCATCGACGTCAAGCGGAATGACATTTAGAAACTAGACTCTAATCATGTTGCGCCATCTTTACATTAAACGCAAAACATCAATAACGTGAAATATCCACTTTGTCGGAGTCTCACAAAAGCTTCAGATAGAGAGAGGCCCTCATATGTTTCAGAATGGTGCATACCTGTTTGTCAATTTTTCAGGTATGCATCATATCATAGTATCTCATCTGTCTTTATCATAATAAGCAACTGCTAATTGGCAATTAATATAATAGTGATTTAAGTCATCGTTATATTTGAATGTTTAGAATATGTATACTTATTCTCCGATTCACTTTATCCAATATATTTTATTTTCTACACGTAAAATGAATTTGATTAGTACTATTTCACTTTATTCCAATCTGGTTAGCATGTTGTCCAATGTAAATAATTGACAAACTAATGCATGTACCCGAGTCTATCGAACCTAAAGCTTTTGAGAGAGCGTTCTCCAAGTTTATCAGTGCATCTGGGGGAATGAATTGTTGCCGAAGATGCTTTATAATGCGTAATTCCTATCCCATCCCCAACCCCATTTCTTTCCCTAATAATAATAACGCATAACGGATAACGGTCCAAGGCTCACTCACGTCTTAACCTCTTTCAAGTGAGTGTGTAGAATCATGATTCTTTGGGGACTAGGATACATCAATGGGCAACCCCCCCCCCCTGGGGACTAGAGTAGACTTTTGAGTATTAAAGAAAGGGAAAATAGTTTTTACTAGATTCCTTTGTAAAAACGAAAGAGAAATAAGAAGGTCTGGTGTTTCAATTTCAAGATCTGAATCCGATGCGAGTAACTTACATCTGATGATCTGATTAGACATTGAACGCTCTATACGGTACTGCTGAGCTACAGGGTTGATGTTGAATTTCTAAGAAAAAAGTAAGTTCAACCTTATAACGGTACCGTCTTCAAAATGGGTTGTACAGAATATATACTTACCTCAGACTCATCAACGGAAATTACCTTGTACAGTGCTACCAATTACAGTTCAGTTTCTTTATCATCTTCAGGAATTTCAAGGAATTATGTAGACAATTTTTGAAAGCCTCTGGTTTAAACCTAAAAAACTTTGGGAATAAGTCAACCATTCCTCTTATATTCTCTATATATAGAGCAGGAGCGTAGCCAGCAATTGCCAAGGGGGTGGGTGCGATTTTTTTGGTATGCATCCGACTGTGAGCAAAGCCGAGTGTCCAAAAGGAGGTACGGGGGTTCACCCCCGAATTTTTTTTAAAAATGATATTGTTATGTACAGTGTGTCAAAAAACAACGGCACCCCCCCCCTCTACAGCAAATAGTCCTTAATGTTACATATCGTGTCAAACCTCGTTTCAAAGTTTGCTACCTCGGCACTTTGTTTGCTGCTCCGTTACTGGTTGAAGGTCAAATCTTCAGAAAGTGGAATATGAAAGAATTAACCCAGATGTCAACTGCAATGAACATATGGGCTCAGTTCTTAAAAACAGGGTACAGGAATTGATGGACAAAGAGCCTCTTGAAAAAAGATACAGTAACGATGTAATTCTGAAGAATGTGAGAAAAGTGCCTAGAGGATTATGCAATGCTACACCTTTATCTGAATTTTTATTGAAATCATATCCATCCAGATAAGCTGCTTTTCAAGCAGCAACTGATAGTCATACCAACTACTAAGAATCAGCTGTAAATCTGTTAAATTATAAGATATAAAGCTGAAATTTCTCAGGTAACTCCAGAATTAAATTGTCTTTAAAATGATATATGACACACCATGTAACATTAAGTACTTTTTGCTGTAGAGGGGGGTGCCGTTGTTTTTTGACACCCTGTATATGGTGCATTCTAAGCACTTCAAACCATAATTTGATAATGTCTGAACTGCAAAATTGCTTTTTTCTAATTTTGTACACTTATATTTTAATGCAAACATTTTGGATCACTTGTGGTTTGCTAGTCACAAATGTGTGGTCTCTTGTATTTTGATGCTTCACTGTCTGACATGTTATTTTGGAAAATGGTATTGGTAAAACTTCCTAAATTTTAAGAGGCCACGTGTTTACATGTGAAACTAATCAATCTGAACATGGGTCTGTTGAAAGCCCATGGTCAAAGTTTTTATTCGAGAGAAATGGGATTTATCGTTAACTGTACTCCAGTACGAAATCCTACAGAACTTACATTCAAATTAGTGCGTTTGTTTTGTAAGCCTAAATTAAACCGGGAAATCAAAAAAATTACATTCATCAAGAATGGAATACATCGTATATGACATATTGCAATACATTTTGCGAGATAAAAAATAAGAAAACATATGTTATTAACAATTTTAGAGTTGAGCAAGTGAAGTCCAAAGGCTTGCAAACTCGACGACACAAGTCAAAATCGCAATTTCATTATTAACTACACGTGGACCTTGTGATATAATGTTGCTTGATTCTTTGTTCAAACAATCTTTATAAAATTCATGAATAACAATAATTAACAAGCAGTATGTAATCAAAATATCTCGATTATAATCACCAGATCGATTACTGCTAAAGTGTGTGTTGTTTTACCAGTTTATTTACCTGGCCGTCTTAGACCGGGAAAGATCAAAGGGATCCAAATATTGGATCCATTGCGCAATCAACAAATAATTGCTAATCCATGTAAAGTAAACACACTTTACGTGTAAAACACGTCAATCTAAATTCTTCTAGTGTTATTCAATATTTTATTGATTCTTACATGATCCGTCTTGATTGCACGGGATCAAAGGGATCAAGGAATGAAAACAACGCGTCTCTAACAAAGGGTTTGCGTAACACTGCATGTTTACCCGTGTTTGGCTACGTAATCCATGTGTATGTTGTTAACACTTTTATTAAAACTGACTTGTATGATTTACATTTTCTTCAACGGATCAAAGTGTTCGAATAAAGCTTCCTTTGATCCTGTTAATGTATACATTCTTTCCTAAGAATTTATAGTCTTGTATAATGTATAATTAATACATTTTTAATGAAGTAAACGTAATATTACACCTAGTTACACTCAGCCAACGCTGGACACACCTGTGCCCGATGCCGATAGCGCCAAATTAAATACCAGAAATGTTTTTCAGTAAATCGGTTGAGAAACTTTTTTTAATATCCTTAACTGTTAACGCCATAATAGATAAAACATGTTTTGCACATCTTCACAGTTTAAAATACTTTGAATTGGATTTAATTGAATAAACATATCTAAGGAAAAACTGGGCAACGCTTTAACTGTCGTATTTTATATTGGAACTAACTAAACATAATGGCGGCATAGGTGAAACGATTGTTTATTTTGAAAAAAAAGTTTGGAACTGTCCCTAAAGTTGTCTGAAAAATACTTTTAATAACAGTTAATTGAATATATAAGTATAATATTTAACATATTGAGAAATGGGCACAGTCGGTATTTGGAACAAACTGAACATTGTATCGGCATTGATGAAACGATTGTTTATTTTATCAGGGAGTTATAATTAGTTATTCGCAGTTCTATACTGATGTTAGGAAAGACGAGCAGTTTTGATAGATAAATTAATTAATTAATTTACAGTTACATCTCATATTAATTGAAATCAAATGTTTGATTGGACTGATGAAAGACAAAGCAATTGTTTATATCATAGCTAATTTATTTTCAGTCTCATCGTTAACATGGTCAAATGAGCGATTACTCATTACATAAAAATTATGAAAATTCGCCTCGTGGTAGAAAAGTCTCGTCAGAGTATGGTCTAGGCTCCAATTAACTTTACATGACAATTATACATTTTGCATTTGATTAACAATCAAATATAATTCCTGCACATTAAATATACTGATTGTTTCATTTTAATTATATGCCACTCATACCCCATTGTTCTTTAAGTGTGGGAATGGTGAAAATGGTATGTTAGACGGTCAAAGTGTGCACAGGTGTTATGGCAAAGAGGGTGAGTAAACCAACCAAACCATATTTTGTGTTTGCTTAGACGATTTTCCCACCGTCCGATCATAGTGAGGGAGACTTGGAGCTGGCCTTTCGTCATTAACACCGACTAAAACTGTCAGTTATATAGTACATGGTAGGTTCAACTTAGGTCTACAACCAACAATTAAGGTATGGCCCTCGTTGAACCTTCATTACTGATTAGGTATCTCACGCTTCTACATGGGTTATCACTCGAAGCAATCATAAAATTTAGTGCTGTGAGATTAGCAACGTAAGGGGCGGAGTTTTCCCACAATTTCAAAGCAGGCAACATGAAAGCCAAGACACGTGCTGGTAATTAACATTTACCTCCAAGATAACTGATTGACAGCTTGCAGTGTATCGGAATGTGGCGCTTTCAAAACTGACCAATCAACATCGAGGTGGCACAAGCCAGTTGGTACAAACAAACTGTGATTGGTCCAGTGTATAGAAATCTGAGCGTGGGAACGGGACTTGAGAATGTAGTACACAAACTTGCGGCATGTGCCATAGGCATAAATATACATCTCAAATATCCATTTCCCACACTTCACCAGCAACCTTGCATAGCGATACAATCACATCATTCCTTCAGAGAAAGCGATCGAGAAACAACGGATTTGAAAATAATCGAGAAAATGTCTGAGAGAACATGCAACGAACTGAGTCCTGCTGCCTTAGCGCGAAGGGTAAGTGAAATTACAACATTATTTTAAATTAATTTCAATAAATTAAAACAGATCATACGTGTATCTTCTATTAACAAGCAGCAAGTTATACAAGAGCAACAAGTTGGAATTGTTTAAATTTGAAACCTTATAGACATTTTGTCATTACTTGTGGCTTCAAATGCAAAATTAAGATTCGAATTAAGATACATGTCATTTGATGTAAAATTAAACAATACTTTTTAAAAGGATTGATCAATAAACACATACTAACTTCAAATCAGGCTTCAAGTTCATGCTATCAATCATTTAAATGTTATTTTCCTCTCATTACATCGCACATCGACGATTCTCATCTCTTCTTATTTCAAATTGTTAAGTATCATACATATATTTATATTTTTGGTTATTGTATTGCAGGCAAACAAACCTTTAATGGAGAAAAAACGCAGAGAACGCATCAACTCGTGTCTGTCTGAACTGAAACACCTGGTCCTTACTGCAATGAAGAAAGATGTAAGTAGAACACCGATGTAATATTATTAAATTCTTGTGCAATTCAGAGAAGCAAGGGGCTAGCTTTTTTCAGTTTGAAAGTTCTCATGTCTGCAAAATCGACAGATCTGCTTGAAATATGTTGCCCCAGGCATGGTTTTTGTAATCTGGAATATTTTACATAAAGTCATATTTGTAATACAAGTTGATCTTATCTGTTATACAATCAACAAGTTCAGTGATTTTCCAAGCCAAGCACACTTTCCCACGCTTTGATTGCTTATTAATTGGTATTTTAATTACTCATTCACCTAGGAGCCTCAAGTAGTAATATATTACACATGTTAACCTTTTAATCAGATAATGGACTGAACCTGTTTATTTTCTATGTGTATGCAAAGTTAGTTGTAAATGTACTTATGAATGTTTTATTTGTTACAGACCTCTTATCACTCAAAGCTTGAGAAGGCTGATATTTTAGAGATGACAGTCAAACATCTTAGAAACCTCCAAAGAAACCAAATATCAGGTAATTAATCATTTTTAATTAATTGTTTTGTTTTTAAATATTTAAAATTTATCTTGCGAAAGTCTCTTGCTGTGTACTCTGAAAAGGGAGGGGGTTACTATAAGACTAATATTTGTAATTCTAAGTAATGATATTTATATTATGTTAAGCAATATTTTTAATCAAATCAATGATGCATATTTTCTTGATTCTAGATTTATGTTGCTAGAATTTCAGCAACACTGAATTTGAACATTATTCATTAAATTCATCATGAAATAATATTACTTTTTTACTCTCTTTTCCATCTTGTATTTATGGTATTTTCTTTATCTCCAGCTGCAATGACTGTTGACCCCAGCGTCCAGGGAAAGTATGCTGCAGGATTTCAAGAATGTTCCCAGGAAGTTGTCCGTTACTTAAACACAGTGGATGGCGTCGATAATGGGCTCAAGAGGCGTATGATTGGACAATTGGCCAACCGTGCCCCACATCAAGTCGCTCCAACACAACCCATTCAGGTCCAGATTCCCTCAGCTACTCAACTGAATACGTCATACACTCCTACACCTACATTGAACACAGCGTACAGTCAACAGACCTCAATGCCCGTATTCCCAGGCACACAGTCAGTGCTGCTAACACCACCTGGACTTAGTGACTCTGTTCTCATTCCTGGACAATTACCTAATGGAGATGTAGCATATTTCTTACAAAGTTCACCTAAAGGACAATCACCAACAGCACCTAATGTCACCACAATGGTGGTACCAAATCAACAACAAACATTGGTCAAGCAGGAAATTATACCCTCACCCCCTCCCTCCGTGGCACCCACTGCTCTACCCCACAGCCAAACACACGTCGCATCACCATCACAGGTTGGACCAATGAAAAACTCTGTAGCTGAGAAACGGGCCGAACGTGTATGGAGACCTTGGTAAAGATTGTACAGATATATGAATTCTACTGTCGTGCAATACTTAGAGCTTTATAACAATACATGTATATTCAAGACATTCAACATTCAACATACACAGTGACATTGGCTTCTATCCAGTCACTTAATCGTTTTTGTGACTTAATAGATTCATTGTTCTTGTATGTAGATGTCCCTATGTGATTACTGCTGAAGTATCTTCATATTGTAGACTATAAAACATTGCATTTTAACAGGACATAATACAGTGTAATATATGTCTCATGGTTTAATTACCAAACTAATTGAATTAATTGAACATTTTTTACACATGGAAATTGAGATCAAAATAATTCAGTGGATTAACTGCTAAACATGATACAATGTTAATATCAACTGCTACAATGTTTCAAATTACTGCTGTAATTTTTTTAAGTTTCAAAACATTACTATGATGTTATTTCATGTTTAAAATTACTTAGTACAATAATGTTGTATTGCTGTTTTTAATAACTGCTGAAATGTTACTGAGAATATCTGCTGTTTTTACCAAAAAGTATTTTTGATAAAATGAAAAAGTTAATCATCAGGATTTTGAAATAGTTTTCATAAGTGCATTTATTATGTGTTGAATTGAATCATTAACTTGTTACATATTATCGTTCTTTGTCAAGTTTTAGAGTTATTGCCACTAGTTTTAAAGAGTTAAAATGCATTAGTAAGAGTAATGTTCACTGTATATAGATATAAACAAACATGTATGTAAATAAGAGTTATTTATTTTTCTACTGTTGCAATAAAACATATAAATCTAAAAAGTGAGTTAGTAATTATATCAATATGGTCTGAGGATATTTCATGTAATATTCTGAGTCATTTAAGTCCATTTTCATATCTAGTATTTTACTGTCACATTCACACAGGTGTCAAGGGCATATCACTTAAATTGTGCAATCAATTCTAGTTTAACTTGATTACTAATCTCTCCATCTTGAGTTTTTAATTGACCCAGCAGCATTGACTGATTATCCAGGTAACTTTAACCAGGTGTCCTAGTTGGTCAAACCAGTTAATCATGTTAACAGGCTGGATCATCCAGGGTTTTAACTTAGCACTAAGTGTCTCACCCCACCCCCTCCCACGTTATCTTGTTCTACAAGCCAACTAAGCTTTACCCTTTCTTTGAAACGTGTAGGGGGTGACGTACAAACGAGTACAGGTGGTCAATAGGAGGGAACACTATGAAGCTGCCATCTATGCTTGACATTAATTCCTTTCTCAAATGGAGGGTTTGCACAGTGCTGCCATCTTTGAATGTACTCGACAATTAAAATAGTCACTGAAGTTCATCATATCTGAAACTCTTGAAAGGTGAATCTTGTGTAATCAACAATTTAAAGGTATGTCAAACTTCAATTAAAGGTCAGTAACCTTATTAAAGTCTTATTAAAAGCAACCTGATTAGATAGAGCACTGTGTTATTTCAGCTAACACAACCTATGGGTCAATCAAGCACTGAAAACATACAATGTTTGTTCAACTTCTTAATCCAAGGTCTCTATGAATTCACACTAACATTTTGTTTGAAGATTTCATCAATTTGTATCATATTTTTATTTGCATTCTGATCCAATTAGGTATTTTAATGAAGTTATTCTCAAGAATAACACAGAGAACAAAGCTTTAGAGGGTTGTTTGGTTTGTTAAGGCCAAGAAAAGAAAACAGTCAAACAAGATAGTAATATGTGACACATGTCATAGTAAATGGCACACTGAGTACATTTTCTGAGCATGTTTCTTCTGGGATTAGAATCTCAATTATTTCAAATCCATCTCATCTCTAATCCAACAAGAGAGAGGATTTCCAAATCACAAACTTTGACACATCAGTTATATTTCAGTTATGGGAATCAAATGGGGGGGGTTGAAGGATCATGAACCATATATATCAAAACAAGCTTGGGTGCATCATCTAAAAGAATCAGTTTTATTTCAGTTATGGTAATCGACGGAGGGGGAGATTGGTATCATGAACCATATCAAATTGTGATTCCAATATAACTTATAAAAAAATGTTTTGGTGTGCTTACCTAGATATGCCCCCACTCAAATAGGGAATTAGAAAACACAAAAGCTAACATTTGAAAAATGAATTAATGTCACTTTGAAAGCTAAAAAGGTTAAGGTACCAATGTTTAAATTAAGGTTCTTTATTAATAATCATGTTTGTCTTGTGAATTCATTGTATACAACATGTTTTGTTGTCTAGGATTACAAACATGACAAAAGAATAAGCATCAACACCTGGTAAGTCTGGTAATGACATACATAAAGGACGATTCTCGGTTTGGAGAACAGTCTCCTGGGCTAATAATTTTTTTCATGAAAAATATAGAAATATTACCCAAATTAAACTACGAATATTCAAAAGAGGACATTTAAATCTACAAGATGTAAAGATAACAAATTGGTCTGAAGCAGGGATAATGCTCAAATAGACCGATTCAATATAAATACAAGTCTCGATTTGGGGGAAGAAGTTCATCAGTGTACTGCGCTAATATTTTTTTGCAAAAAATCTAAAAATATTACCCAAATTAAATTATGACTATTCAAAAGAGGACATTCAAATCTTTATTATGTAAAAAAATCAAATTTGTCCGAAGCAGGGATAATGCTCATTTAGATTGATGAACTTTGTTCTCCAAACCGAGAATCGTCCTTTGATGATTGCATAAGAAAAAAAAAACATTATAAAACATTATAAAAATATCCCCCAGATTAATTCACTGCTCACCTCCCACAGCAACCTTTCAGATCCCCCTCCCAAGTGAAACTGAGACATTTGGACAGCCATTCACTTTTTAAATAGATAAATGAGGCTAATTTTCCACGAGGCCCCAGGCCATCTACCTGAAACATGATGTTTTGAAAAATGATTGAAATTAGTTAATGAACAGAAAATAAAATAATTCTCCAATATTGGAGCCCAATAATTTTTGATCCATGTAATTAAAGAAAGACTATGGAAGATAGTAAGACAGATATCAATGAGTCACAGACACATTTTACATTTCATTAAGAGAAAAATTATGGAATTCCGTGATATCTCCTTGCTGGTTATCATACAACAATAATAACATGTACCTCAGGCTATGTTGTGTCATAAAATATATTGTTTGATATTATCAGTGATCAGGTTGATTTCGACAATGTTACCATGATTCAATCAGACATTTACAGTGACGAACACATACTTGCAATGTTAAACAAGGATTAGAAGTCTTTTGACCAAAAAGCATTACAGAAATTGAAAACATTGAAATGGAAAGCAACATTTTTCTGTTCCATATATGGATATTTACATCATTTGCTACAGGTTTGTAGATTTGATCTTCTTTTTAGTTTACATGAACAATTTATATTACCACAATCATTCAGCATTGATATAAATAAATAAATCATTTCCTTCATCATACATTGACTATTGTTTCAGGATGAGTATAATGAATCTCAAAGTCTGGTTAAAATGCTTAAAGGTGCTACAATAAGTGCAGGGGGGCCATTCAATGATCATCGACAAGTGTCAAAATATATTTAGGTTTGGATATTTCATCAAGACTAACATATATTTTCATTATCTACAAAGAAACCCTCTGGATGAACATTATTTCAGCTGATATTCCTCTTGAAACATGGTGGATCTTAAAAATCTATAAGTGGGACTCCCTTTATAGAAGCTTTGAATTGAATTTACACTTCTTAATGCTGAAATTGATAGTTTATACATACATTTTATGAAAATAGGTATGTCAAAGAAGGTATTAAGCCAAATGTTGACCTGGTAGCTCAGAAAAAATAAAAATTTTCGAATTTTCTCTCTACAGTCCTTATTGCCCCTTTAAGACGTTTTTTTAAATTCAGATCTATCTTTTGCAATGTAAAATTAAAAAATGCAGTATAATATGAATAAAATACATGATGATCATGGAAATAGGGGGAAATGTGAATGTTATGTAAATATTATGCATACATAATTATTGTAAGCAATTTATATATTCATTTTAAATATCAATCATATTTTCCCAGGGAAATTCAATGCACAAAACATAACAATAGGTCATTATAAGTTGATCCCAGGTACATTATACCTCTGGCTATTTGCAATAAATAGATCTCAGCATATTAAAATATGTAGTTTGAATATGCACTCTGAGTTGCTGTATTTTAAACATGTTTTGTGCTACAGGCTACCCATTCTAAAATAACAGTCATCCTTAGATGTTTGTTTATATCTCTTTGTTGTTTGTTTTTTGTTTGTTTGTTGGTAGCTATAGCAACTGACAATGAGATACAAAGTAAATTTCTCCCAATTCCTCTTATTTTGCATTTACAAGGTAAGAAGGTTTTCATATGATTAATCACACTAAGAGAGTATGGTCAAACTCAACAATATACAATTGTTGACCTCTCCAGAGGTCAACCGGCAAAATTGTATACCGAGACTGTAAACCGAGAAACTACTGTTGACAGAGACCGAAGGTCGAGGTCAACAGTGTTTCAAGGTTTACAGTCGAGGTATATGATTTCGACGGTTGACCGAATGGAGAGGTCTACAATTGTTTTGTTAGTCAGAAGAAACTAATAATACTCATATATACGACAGTCATCAATCATGGCTTCATTTCACAATCTTTTCTACGAACCTGCACGCCAGCAATGATTTTTAAGAAAATCTGAAGACAGTGGAAGCTAAACTCTCTGTTTTCGGCACATAACTGCGTACTCGCTAGTAAATTAATGTTAATTTTGCGTTTCTATTTGTATTGTTGCTATACTCGTCGTGTAGAAAAGTCAAAATATCACTTTCATCAACGTGTACAAAATGTCCGACTACCATGTTTTTTCTGTAAACATTGTGACGTCATATTTCCCATAATTCACAAGTGTAGTACAGTAACATACGCGGTCAATAATATGATATCCCATGATGCACAAGTGAGGTACAGGCAAAAATGTTGACCGCTAATTGACCAATCAGATGCGAGTATTTACACTGAGGTACTAACAATACATTTTATATACTTTTAAAGACAATCATTACATATAGATGTCTCTTTGTTACAGTGATTCATTGTGCAATGTGTTCAACAAAGGTGGGTCGTCCCCCTGGTAAGCTCGCATCACGGGCCACAAACCAGGTCTACCTTATGTTGAACAACACATTCCGCTGTGATGGCGTCATCACTGCGTGGCACTACTATCGCGTCAATAGTATCTCTGCTGTCTTTGCTGGAGTGTGGCGCCACCCTAGTAATGCCCCCGAGAACTACTACCACATGGTCGGGCAGAATCTACTGCCTCCTGCAGGGAAGGGCCTCCAGTCTGTTTACATACCACCCTCAAAACAGATTGAGGTCAGAGAGGGAGATTTTCTAGGGATTCACCACTCATGGAAAACAAAGCAAAGCCCAGTTGCTATGGAAACCAATGAAACAACAATAACATTTCAGAGTGATTTGTACATGACTGTCCGTGCAGGGTTATATAATGAGAACATGCAAACTGGAGTGTTAAACCTGAATCTACATGATAGGAGGGTGACCATGGCTAACTTGGCCATGCAAGCAGAGGTGAAAAATGATGCAGGTACAACCACTGTTAAACATATAATAGTTAAAACTGATGAGTGTGTTAATGAGGAGGAGAGTCCATTGGAAGTCCATACATTTCTCATCTCTTATATTGGTCCTTATTCATGTTCTCTATATCCATGTATCATTCCACTTTATATTGTAGAAGATGGCTTTATCACACGAATAGTCTGCAACAAACTTCCTTTCACAGTGAACTGTGGAGACGGTCGCATCATCGTCATCAAGAGTGCCCTCTATGGTAGAATAGAGAACCAATGTGAGGTGACAATTGCCACACAGTGTAATCCAGCAGATGTGAGGCAGAAACTGAGCAAAATGTGTGCTGGGAAACGCTCCTGTGAGGTACAAGTGGACAGCGCAAGATTCGGTAATCCGTGTAGTGGAGAGGAAAATCTGGAAGTGAAATACAAGTGTTTGGCAGGTAGAAATACAAGTACATGTTAATCTGATATCAACAGGTTCTTTATGAATCTCTTTATATTTGGTTTAATTTTTAATGGGCTGTATGATTTACTTATAATTCAATGACAATAAAAAGGTGGAATGAGCCCACAAAGAACACTGTAGTTAATTTTATTTGTTTCTAGAAGCCTTTGTTAGTTATGAATGCAATGAGAAGAACATCACAATATATGGTCAACAGGGATACCTAGCCTCACCTCATTATGCAACAACATACAGACAACCAGTCAAGAACCAGTTTAACTGTTCCTGGAATATCTACGTCAAACCAGGTCAACAAATCAACCTTAAACTCTTAGACTTCGACACTGGTATAGTTGCACATGATCACCAGGGGGACTCGCAGTGCATGAACAGATTGACGGTTAATGATCACGTAAATCACCCATTCGCAGAATGTGCCAATAATTTGCTCTCTGATATTGTTGTTTTGAGCAGCTCTGCCAACCTGCGTCTAATCACAACACTTGGACGTAACAACAGGGGTGTACTGATATACTATGAAGGTACATGGTTGAATTTATTTCTGTGCAATTATAAAGATGGCACTGCAAGTGTTCAATTTGTTCTCAATGCCATATTTAGTATTTTCCATAACAGTTTGTTGTTAAAACCAATATTAACACTATTATTGCAATTTTACAATTAATAGGTTAAATGTTGAATATTTACACCATTCATGATATTCTTATCATATATTACTGTGTTGAAGCATATTGAAAACCATTTAAATTAGCTTTCTTTGTAAGTTTTCTAATTTTGTGTAAGGATGTTGAATGCACAAGAATAGTTTAATACTGTGTATCTGATTTATAGACAATTGCTTTGTTTTGCTTGTTGTTATGTTGGCCTTTATGTTTTCTCACTGTAGCTATAGGGTGTCCATTCCTGAAACCGCCTATCAATGCTGCAATTACCCGGCTGAGGAGGGAACCAAAGAACACAGTGATTGTTCTTTGTGATTCAACCTTTGCTTTTCTGGAGTCTCAGGTCCAAGGCCGAGTCCTCAGATGTGAAGGCACCCAATGGAACAACACTGTTGGTGAATGCGTGTCAGGAAGTAGGTTAACTTAACTTTATATAATGATGGAATAAGGAAACAAACAATAGTTGGGCAAGATTTGGTTCATCACAGTCACCCAGAATAGTCTAGCTTATACACACACATTAGGAAGCAAATTACCTAGTTGCTTTAAGTTTGTTACAAGTTCCACCACCAGGAGACTAACTAAAAAATCAAAGTTTCTGATCAATTTTAAAACTGTATTTTACATTGTAAAGTATGGGCATATATCAATTCATCAAGATTATATTTACCGGTGTATCAGAGTAAATGCTGCTTTTCTGTGACATATGTGTTCTAGCTTTGACGTCATTAATTATACCTTATTGTTTTGTTGTTTGTGCGTCACTGCAATAAATGAGCTTATGTCAATAACAAGATTATTTTCATTCTTTTATTAACCAGGAGTGTATTTACAGAAACTTCGTAAAGTTAATGATTCTCTCATAAACTGTCTCTTTTATCTTAGTATTTTATTACTTCAGGTGTGATCCGTTCTCTAACTACTGCTCCAACGAGTCTTGCCACGACAGTAACAAGCCTCTCCACTAGAACAACAAGCCTCTCTTCTACAACAACAAGCCTGTCGACTACAACAAGCATCACTTCTCCAACAACAGAAACAACAAAAACAATCACAACAACTAAAGGGCCCAATCCAACTAAGACAACACAAGCTACAGATACACATGAAAATTCCATATCAACTAGTTCAACAACACCTAGTGTAACAGCTAGACCATCACCAGCAATAATAACAGATTCAACAGTCCGCATAGAAAAACAAACTAATATGCCTATGTATAATACAACTTTAAACAACATGACAGACTTGATAATTGAATCATTAACACATTCAACATCATTCAATATTAATACAACAAAACAACCTTTAACAGAGTCATCAACAACATCAGATGTACGCACAAAAACACCCTCAGATCAAAATCAAAACAGTTCCAGTTTTGGAACATTGACAGCATTCGCAATATTTAACATATCAAGCTCAACAAGTCAGCCTCACAGACCAGATTCTACTCCCGTTGATAAAGTGGAAGAGGTGACTACAGCAGGTTGGGACCAAACTCCAAAGAATGCAACAAAGGAGCAAAAAGAACTAGAAGAGAACATCAAACTCAAGGGAACAATCAGCAATATGTCTGGTGAGCTGATAACTGATTATTTTATCTTTAGGGTTGTATCCAAAATTCTAGCCTTTTTACCAATTTACATCTTCAATACAACATAAAAATGTATTTTGTACTACAATCTAATGGTATATTTTATGTTTATTGATGATTATAAAAAGCACTTTGGGCAATGTTTGGAGGACAGCCTTCTGAAAAACAGAAGACAATTGGCCCTGGTATAAGAAATCCCATAATATCTGGAAATATTACGTAATCAATAGAACTTATTTTGCCATAAAAGTTACAGTGTTTTACAATCCTGCAATCTGTTGTCCTGTTACCTATATTTTGGGGAATCTTATACCTTATATTTTGGGGAATCTCAGTCATATACCTTATGTTTTGAGAAGTATGATACCTAAAGTTTATGTTTTGGGAAATCTTACACCTTGTTTTGGGAAGTCTGATACCTTAGTGTGTTTTGGAGAGTCTGATACCTTATGCTTTGCGGAATGCTTTGGGGAGTCTGATACCTTATGCTTTGCGGAATGCTTTGGGGAGTCTGATACCTTATGCTTTGCGGAATGCTTTGGGGAGTCTGATACCTTATGCTTTGCGGAATGCTTTGGGGAGTCTGATACCTTATGCTTTGCGGAATGCTTTGGGGAGTCTGATACCTTATGCTTTGCGGAATGCTTTGGGGAGTCTGATACCTTATGCTTTGCGGAATGCTTTGGGGAGTCTGATACCTTATGCTTTGCGGAATGCTTTGGAGAGTCTGATACCTTATGCTTTGCGGAATGCTTTGGGGAGTCTTATTGGGGAGTCTGATACCTTATGCTTTGCGGAATGCTTTGGGGAGTCTGATACCTTCATGTTTTGGAAAGTATGATACCTTTTGTTTTGGAGAGTCTGATACCTTTTCTCAGACCCAAATTTACAACTCATTATTTATGTGAATCTCACGACTTTTCAGACACAGGGAAATCAGACACTGGGAATTCCAGCCTACGTGTTTCAATTGATGATCTCCATAATACATCTATCAAGTTTGCTGCGGGCGTTCTAGTGGGTGTCACCGTTGCTGTACTCCTGGGGGGTGTAGCTCTTGGCATATTCTTCTACTGTATAAAAATAAGGTAGGTATATTAACAGTGCTAGAAGTTCATGATATTTGTTTTGAAGCATGTAGTAACAACCAGTGGCACAAAATACAATGATGCAAGTATGAATTTACTGCTTACATGTATATGTTCAGAATCTAGGACACAGCGACATCAGACTTTAATGACACATATAAGATTGATTAAAAGAAATGAAAAATGGAGTAAAGAAGTTTATGGCACCCCTTTAATTTTTTAGAGAAGAGTCAAGGCATGTGTGTTAGAAGAACTCCATCTCCAGTTCAAGACAGATAAAAAAAATCATGTGGATAAATTTATAAAAGGAGTCACAAATATGAAAAATATTGAAGATTTACCAAAAGAACAAGAATTTTATTGCAAAAACACCAAGTGTGGTATTTAATCCAGGGATGTATTTAGAAATCAATTACAACGCATAAGAAATCTATCATTTACTCAAATGATTTTTTATCACTATGGGGCCTGGAGGAGGTATCTAGATAACTTATAAGATATAATATTCCCCATGACAGAAGATACCTCATTTTTTGTTGGGTAGAAGACTTCATAAATAACACGAAAGGATAAGGTATCATCTACAGCTAACTGATGTATATAAGGTCTTAATAATCCATTGGTGGAAAGCTAGCAGTATGAAAACCTCTTAATTAATATAATCATGACCTTATACTTTTTTTATCCAAACATGCCATGAAAGACTGAATTTGACCATCAAAATTCATCCAATCAAATACTAAGTCATTGATCAAATAAATTCTTCTCAAATGTTCTGGAAATTGCTAAAATTACCAAATCAAATAATTTCAAATTGAGTAAAGTAAGAGTGAAGAACTTTATTTGCATTGTATCACAACATGTGTATTTGTAATTGTAGGAATAGAGTTAGCATACAAGAGCCAAGGCTGGTCCAGTCAACCATCATCCATCACAGACTGCAGGAGAACCCATTGTACCAATGCTCAACAGACAGCCCCATTATCGTAGCAGCTCCAGCCACATTGAGACCACACCCAAAGGTCCCTGTGAAAAACTCGAAACGACGGAGGTCTCAGAATCGTTGCCTGTTGAATTCTACATCCTCTAAAGAAGAAGATGAATACATGGAAATGGGGGATACAGATAGCACATTGCCTAATTCTGCAACTCTTTTCCGAGGTTATTCAACAAAGTCTCAAGTAAATCATAACTGTCCAAAGCCTCCTTTAAAGAAAGTGACATTGAAATATAGAGTGAAGCATGCGGGAAATCTACCAGCTCAGGGAAATCCTGAAAATGCAGATCCATTCCCATATCCTACACCTAGTTGCTATGACAATGTGTATGATGACACAGTTGCCCCTGATGATAATGATCACAAACTGAATCACTTCTATGAGACCTTACATGATGATCCTCCACAAAAATCAAAATATAATGAACATGATGGTATGAAAGAGCGTCCACAGACACCAGATGTCTTGAAGAATGTACTTGTACAGTCCAATAATCCCACACACATAATAAAGCATACAGGGACCAATCATTATGATGATATAGCATTCAGTGACCACTCCAGGTCTTCAACACCATCAACAATAAGGTCCTCAACATCAACTCTTGAGACAGAGAGTAGCGATAGAGAGACACTTGATGCAGTGGTGGACATGATAGAGAATGAACTGTACCACACACAGAATGATGTGACTACTACAGATTTATGATAGAGAATGAACTGTATAACACACAGAATGATGTCACTACTACAGATTTATGATTGAGAATGAACTGTATAACACAAAGAATGATGTCATAACAACAGATTTGTGATAAAGAATGAACTGTATAACACACAGAATGATGTCACTACTATAGATTTATGATAGAGAATGAACTGTACCACACACAGAATGATGTCACTACTATAGATTTATGATAAAGAATGAACTGTACCACACACAGAATGATGTCACTGCTATAGATTTATGATAGAGAATGAACTGTACCACACACAGAAACGATGTCACTACTATAGAGTTATGATAGAGAATGAACTGTACCACACACAGAATGATGTCACTGCTATAGATTTATGATAGAGAATGAACTGTACCACACACAGAAACGATGTCACTACTATAGATTTATGATAGAGAATGAACTGTACCACACACAGAAACGATGTCACTACTATAGATTTGTGATAGAGAATGAACTGTACCACACACAGAATGATGTGACTACTACAGATTTATGATAGAGAATGAACTGTACCACACACAGAATGATGTCACTACTATAGATTTATGATTGAGAATGAACTGTATAACACAAAGAATGATGTCATAACAACAGATTTGTGATAGAGAATGAACTGTATAACACACAGAATGATGTCTCTACTACAGATTTATGATTGAGAATGAACTGTATAACACAAAGAATGATGTCATAACAACAGATTTGTGATAGAGAATGAACTGTATAACACACAGAATGATGTCACTACTATAGATTTATGATAGAGAATGAACTGTACCACACACAGAATGATGTCACTACTATAGATTTATGATAGAGAATGAACTGTACCACACACAGAATGATGTCACTGCTATAGATTTATGATAGAGAATGAACTGTACCACACACAGAAACGATGTCACTACTATAGATTTATGATAGAGAATGAACTGTACCACACACAGAATGATATCACTACTATAGATTTATGATAGAGAATGAACTGTACCCAGACAGAATGATGTCACTACTATAGATTTATGATAGAGAATGAACTGTACCACACACAGAATGATGTCACTACTATAGATTTATGGTAGAGAATGAGCTGTATCATACACAGAATAATTTCACTACTATAGAGTTATGATAGAGAATGAACTGTTCCACACACAGAATGATGTCACTACTATAGATTTATGATAGAGAATGAACTGTATAACCCGGAATAAGTACAGATTTGTGCAAGAGAATGAACTGTATCATACGCAGAATGTTGTCATAACAACTAACATCATGACAGAGATTGACTGCATCGTCCACAGAATGATGGCATTACTACATGTTTATGATAGGGAATGGACTGATATATTTATGGTAGAGGATGAACTGTATAACCCAGAATTAGAATGATTTCATTAAACTACAGATTTGTGAATGAGAATACAGTGCATCATGGATTTAATGTTGTCATTACTACATATTTATGATATAGAATAAACTGTATCATAGATAGAATGTTGTCATTAATACAGATTTATTATATTGAATAGGCTGTTAAAAAGATAGCATGTTGTCATTAAATCACCAATGAATTCTCTTTTTTTGCAAAAAATGGTATTCCTTTAGATGTTAATAGTCAGATAAAAAATGAAAGCTAAATCAACAAAGGTTTTCACTTTGCTTAATTATACAGACAGCTATAGGTTAATAATACAGTACTGCACTATCACCATGTGAGCCCATACCCATGATACTATTTTACTGTTTATTTGAAAAGTATGGTAGATGTAAAATTTCAAGAAAATTGATTGACACCATAAGAAGTAATGACCAAAGAGAGCTGATAACATAATATTTCAGCAATAAAAATGGTGGCCATTTTTCATTTTACAAGGTCTATAGACATTGTTGTTAACGTTGCTGCCTATACCACGGGGGATAAGCAAAACGAGGGCGAAGCCACGGACTGCGACTCGCGTAACTTTACACCGCAGTCCAGCGCCAAAATGGAGGGACATCCGGCAGTGCCTTCTGCTTCTTCAGACAAAATAGAGAAATCCAGGTATTTTAAATGCTATCGTAGTGTCTAATCGGTGACCAAAATATTACTCTGTATCTACTGTTGGTCTGTAGATAAGAAAATAAGCAGTTGTCCAGATCAAGCTAAAACAGTAGCAAAGTTCTGATTTTACCTGTAAAATATGTGCATATTATTTAATTTACTATACATTTGAAAGGAGTTTGAACACGTTTCTGATATCTAAAGGTTAGTTGAGGCTCCGAGTATAATTCGTGAAAATGATTTGATAATAGAATGTGTTCATGAGGAGAAAATTAGATTCAAACTGCGCATTCATAGTGGACGCAGTCCAGTAAACAAAGCTATTTCAACAACGCAACACAGCCTCCATTGATATTCTAAGCAACGCAGTCCAGCCGCGAACACGAAATAAATAAGATAGTGTAAACTATATTCCTACGCTATTATTGTTTCAGGAAAAGAAAGTCAGCATCCAGATTATCATTCAAAGTTACGTTGATTAACATATATCTATCACCTGAATCAATGTCCCAAATTGCTATATTGTATCGTTTAAGACCTAGAAATATGGCAATTCAATAGCGTATTTGGCAGAACAGTCGAGCGCAAGATGACAACGTAATATGTTTATTACAAACCAATTTGTGGATAGGGTTAAATATATAGATAATTGGATAGTGGTGAGACTTTTTATAAGAAGTAGAAATGCGAAACAATTAACTTTAGTGGTGAGACTTTTTATAAGAAGTAGAAATGCGAAACAATTAACTTTTTGATGATGCAATAAAAGCTGTTGGGGAAGGGTACATTAACTAGTATTTAAGATATCAGGAAAATATCAAATAATTGGAGAGTTGGTGAGTTAATGTAATTTTGGATGATCTTTCCAACAGTCCATCAATATTGCTAGCTACCATAAATTCATGATTTCAGCTGTATTTGACAGCTTGTATATATTTGCAGAATGGATTGAGACACGATGTACGTAGGTCTATTAAAATAGCCCTTTATATTCAATTTTGTCCAAAGTTGCTCCATTTCGGCCACACCTGTACACACATTGTGCTGTGCATGCTATCTACCTTTGGCTGTGATTGCGTTCAGCTCCAGATATAAAGCAACACTGAGTCGCGGACTGCGTTGGGCAGATGGATGGACTGCGACTATTATAAATTCCAATTTTCTATGTAATTGTACGTTTTCCGCTTAATAAATATCACACGAAGATGTAATTGTAACAACAGAACATGAATAATTATATTAATTCGATGTCATTTCTGATTCCTTTGTTTAAATCGGTATATTAGGGACAAATATTGACAAAATTACATTTTTTGTGGCAGATTTCGAATTCATTTGTGTTCATGCTAAACTATTGGACAGCCGAGCACCAAGAATGCCATTGCAGGTGGAGTATGAATATGTTGATCACCGACTGGAACATACTAGCTATTCTGTAGAATATCCAAACCAATAATCTACCCCAAATCCTAACATGCCTTCCAAATTAAGTTTGGACTTACCGCCATTGTTCAGCTATAATGCGTTGTAACCTCGTTTTGAATTACGCAAGTCGCAGTCCGTGGCTTCGCCCTCGTTTTGCTTATCCCCCGTGTATACAATATCATTCAAATCAATGCGATACTTTTTGACTTATAACATAGAAATTGATATTTCAACAATAAATGTGGCGGTCATTTTGAATCTTAGCGACATTATTGTTAACTTATATGCTTAGCTGTTCGTACGATTTCAAACAAATTAATGCAATAACATAAAAAGTGATACTTCAACAATAAATGTGGGCAATTTGAATTTTTGTGTAATCTAGTAGTACATGTATATCATGGCAATCTGGTATTATCTTGCAGCAGTTTGGTATCATCTCATGGCAGTCTGGTATTATCTTGCAGCAGTATGGTATCATCTCATGGCAGTCTGGTATTATCTTGCAGCAGTTTGGTATCATCTCATGGCAGTCTGGTATTATCTTGCAGCAGTTTGGTATCATCTCATGGCAGTCTGGTATTATCTTGCAGCAGTTTGGTATCATCTCTCAGAAGTACTTGTTCATATAGATCGAATATCACATGAAGATATATTTGATATATGGATCAAGATATCATATTTTAGCAAAAAATGATATGTTGGCAAGAGAATGAAATCACATAACAGACTAAAACATGCTGAAATCATGGCCACAAAGAAACTGTGCTATCAGAAGGTAAGGAGATAATACTTTGAACATACTTTTCAAACTATAATTACAATAGACTAGATGTGAGTAGAAAAAATCTTTATTTACATCATTAAACATTCAAAATTCAGTCAAAGTGATGTCATATTTGAAATCTACATGTAAAAGTACATCTAAAAGTATGGTTTCGAAAGTTGTTTATCAACAATTGAAACCATCGAATAACACTTTTGAAACCATCGAATATCACATTTGAAGAAGTGATATTCAATGGTTCGGGAATTTTTTGCTAAAATATGATATCTTGATCCATATATCAAATATATCTTCATGTGATATTCGATCTATATCCTTGCATCCATGGGATAAAACTGAATACCCAATGTGGCTTAATAAATAACTACCAAGATTTAGATTCAAATTGACCGTTAACTCCATACTGTGCATGCATATGATCTACACCGAACATTTTCTGCAAACAAAGCCTGCATAGATTGATTGCTTTACTTTTAGGTATTGATATTCTGCCTGTCATTCACATTAATATGGCTGGTGATTTTAATGAACATATCAAAGACAGATGGACCATTTCAGCCTCCCCTTTTAAAGGGCAACAAAAGTCTACAAAGTACATCTACCAAAAAACTACATCAAAAAACATCATCAAGAAAACTACAAAAGGAGGGCAACAGAATAGCACTGTGACCAAAGGGCCGATTAGAATAACACAAAGGAATAACAAGAGTAAAAACAGCAATGAAATGAAAAAGATCAACATTTCAACAGAAATTAAAATTCTTCAATGGACAACATATTACAACAGAGTATATAATATTTCAGCAACAAATGCATTAGATTTAGAATCTTGCCCAATTAAACAGTGTACCTTTCACCATGATAAATCACAAGAAGGAATAGCAAGAAGTGATGCAGTTGTATTCCATATGTGGTCAAACGATTTTAACAAAACTACTCTACCAAAGATCCGTTTCCCTTGGCAGAGCTTTGTTTTCTTTACATTAGAAAACCCCAAAAGGGATTATTTCACAAAAAGACTGAACAAAACTGAACTAGATGGGTTTTTTAATCTGACTGCCACCTATAGATCGGATTCTGATGTCCCTTTGCCTTATGGAAAATATATTCCAATATCAAAAACACTAATGAAACATAGAAATTATTACAAGGAAAATAGACAAGATAAAACTAGTAATAGTAGCACAATAATCTGGATGGTTAGCCATTGTAAAACACCCAACAAAAGGGAAGATTTCGTGAAGGAACTGAAGACTCACGTAAATGTGGATGTATTTGGACAATGTGGAAAACTTTGCGAAAATTTCACAAAATGTAAGTAAACATATTGGACATTTATATCACATATTGGAGCTGTATCTTGGATTTTTTAACCAAATCCTGAATTTATGATATTTCAATTTGATTTCCATTCTATTATAGGCAAGTAAACATTAATATCAAACATACTAGGTTTCTGAAATTATTCAGATGGTAAAAATTAGTGTAAATAGTGTTACACATATGTTTACTAAGTCCTGTACATATATATTATTTATACTTTAAGATGGCACACAACCACATGTCTTACATGGCCCTGTACATATATGCTCTATACTTATAGGTGGAACCCACCCATATATGTTTTACCTTGCCCTAGAGAATGCTGACTGCAAAGACTACATCACGGAAAAACTTTGGAAAAATGCATTTCGCAAAAACTTAATTCCAATTGTAAGAGGACCCAAAATTAACTACAGAAAACATCTTCCTCCAAACTCATTTATTAACGCAGATGACTTCAAAACAGTTAAAGACTTGGCTTTATATATCACAAAAGTATCGCAGGATGAGGTTCTATATAATTCATATTTTATATGGAAGGTATATTATGAAACATCAGCCTCGAGTGGTTTCTATGACCCTGACCATGTTTGCAAACTTTGTATGTTGCTACATAAAAAAAGAGAAGATACATTGCTCTACAAATCATATAATATTAGCTCATGGTTTGATGAGAAGGAACAGTGTATTCATAATTGAAAGCCCAAGTTGAACATACAACACAATGAGAGTATGTGGCACATTTCAACACAATGGAAGTAAGTTGTGCATTTTAACAATGATGGTATTTTGGGCATGCAACACAATGAGAAGATGTTGTGCACTATGGAATAAAAAGAACATCCTATGATTTACTCGTGATATGATTTTAATCCACTCATGGATATTGATATCTGCACTCTCTCACTACGCTCGCTCGTGCAAATATCATATCCATTCGTGGATAAAAATCATTTACTGGATATATTTTCATTCCTATAATTATTAGACACATGAGGGTCATATGAAAATTGATCTACTTAAACTGATGAATATTCAAGTTTAAGAAAACTTTCAACTATCTACTATCTGCCATGTTATCTGACCCGAATTAGCAACCTGGCGGTGAAACAGGTAGCTACCTAGTGGCACCTGGGTTATTCATGTATTTTGGCATTAACTTAATGTTTGCTTAAAGTGGCAATTGCAATTCTATCTTGCCAATGGGGGTTCAGTTTTCAAAAATTTCCAGGGGGGGTTCACATTTCACAATTTTGGCCCAGTATGGTTAAAATCACTAGAGAAGTGCTCAAAATGGTGAAAAACTGCATGATTTTGAAAGAATTTTGGCTAGGGGGGGGGGGGTTCGCTTGTGAATCCCCCCTGGCTACGGGCCTGATGTAGTATTAGTTCCAAATTGAAATTATGACATTCAGTTTTAAAAGATAATTAACTTATGGTGAAAATGACAGGTGTTATGAATTAATAATGATTTTTGGGGTAAGGGTTTTGAGGATCTATGACATACAGAGTGTGACCCCAAAAAGCAAATCTCTAATTTTTGAATTTTGCTTAATAATGATTAAAACCGCTTCAATGTTCTTGTATTATGTAGATAAAGGGTAGAATTGAAAAAACAGAGGTATGCTTGTATTACATGGATATGAAACTGAATGACATTAGTTTTGAGGACATGTAGTAACTTCAGGTACTTTAATACATTCAAATTTATACCTGTATAATATTGCTACACAAACAAAAAACAGTACTTTACTTTGAATTATTATATTGCACATACTCAAAATACACCAGGTATTTTACATATATTTTTTTATAAATAAAAATACATTCGACATGACAAAATAAATTCCACATTGTTGAAAGTCCAGGGGTCCATTTCTCAAAATTCTTAGGAAGTGTTCTTACTATTGAAAATCATTTTTCTAAAGAAGTACTTGTTCATAATAACATAACAAATATCCATGGACAAATATCAAATAAAAGTTATTCTCCTTTGACCAGTATCTAAATGACTAAAAGTGCTCAGATGTGCAATTTGTTTTATATTTTATCTTGCTGTCATAGGCCATTTTTACTCAAGTGGATCATTCTTCACCCTATTAGACTAGAGGACAGTCCAAATATATATTTCTCTTTGATATTCACTGCATTTCTTTTTAATTATGGTCTACAGTAAAAACTGTTGTGCTTAATCAAAGTTGTTTCAATAAGTCTAGAATTGAACAAGCTTTCATATGACATATATGGGTCTGCTATTTAGGATTGGTGGTTGATGGGGGACAGTCATTATGAAACACCCTTTAAGTGATCTTCCTATTATTAGAAGAACAAGGTACTGCATCCTGTTGAAAATTCAAAAATTACATGTGACCTATATATTAATATATCTACCTATATACCAATAGGATAATATCAAAATCTGTTTGCAGCCTGCTAAAATATTGAGAAATTTGAACCAAAAAGGCCTAAATTCCCGAGGGGATCACTAGGTGTAGAATATATCTTTAACCAAGGACGTCCTTGCTTAAACTAATAAACATTAATCATCAAAACAGAACAGTACATGCATTGCTTAACTACAATACTCAACTAATACAGATTCACTGCAGCAAACGACAGCCATGGAATGACATAAACATTAATTGTTGAAATGGTTCTTCACAACCTGTCCCTCACAGAGCCAATAGGAATATACTGTACATGTATGTGATGATATAAAGGTTCTCGTTCCATGTTTCTATGACGATGGTATGGCACTAAGTCTCTTATCATACGAGGATGATGCACTGGCTTCATCACTATTGTTAATACTTATAGGAATATCTGCAGTTTTAGCACGTTTTAGTCCTCCATACATACTGGGTTTACTCTGGGCCTGGCTACGTCTGAAAGTACATGAAATAGAAACTTTACAAGGTGACTTGCTTGATGTGAGACCTGAATTCTTGTTTCAATTTTTTACCCCTGTCAGGAGTAAGAGGAAAGTCTGGATCAATGAACTGTGTATGATGTTATATTATTGTTCGGAGGGATTGTCTAGTATACAGTGTGTCATGAAGCAAAAGAGAGCTTTCAATATAAGTTTTCAGCCAAACTTATACTGAAACTTTAACTTTTAAATGAGGGAAACACCACTATGAGGAAGGTTACTTTGAACATTTAAACATTAATTCATGTGAAGCCTCAGTCACATTTGCTCTACAGCGGTGCCATAACTTTGACAAAGTAATGTCTTCTGGATGTTAACACCATTATGAATCCATTTTTTGAAATATTGTCCCTTGATACACTCTTATCTTAACATCATTAATATCTGACATAGACAATTCACAAATTAAGCCACCATTGAATGATTTAGTGAATTTCCCATGTTTTATAGTCACCTGGAATGCTCATACTCCAACTGCTGCTTGATGAACATTGAGTTCTTTAAAAGATCTTGAATGTTCTGGAAGTGTGTGCTGCTTTTCTCCATTGTCTTACAAGCATTGATGGCATACTCCATGTCAAAACAACTACCTTGCACCTGTTGTTGGAGGTCTTGCACCTGTAATATACAAAGAAGTTTGCAATTGTGCATATTATGTAGAATATCATATCATTTTGAGTGATAGAATTTTATTGAACGATCAAATATTTATTTAATAAATATTTTCATTGGCCAGTCAAACAAGAGTGAATGAACCAAATAAGGCCTGATATACAGATACATGTATTTGAGATCTATCAGTCATTAAATATATTGATGTCATAGGAAATATCTGATATTGCATCTGTTAGTGGTTTTAATCTAGAGTTGATTGATATACATTAACACAAGAGTGATGCAAACAAATGGAAATATTACCAAGACACAATATTGCTACATGAAAAAAAGGTTAATAGAAAACATATTTCTGAGTTTGATACACTAGCACCATTTTCAATAACTTTTACTCCTAGCTTTATTAATCCTCCAACTGTGCAGGACTACAAGGTACAGAAGGAGGAGGAAAGACTTCTGTAGCCCTGCGTTCTCAGAAGAGCGTTATTAAACTTCAAACAAAAGTGAAGTTATCTGCAAATGATATACCCATTGCATGGAGTAGGTAACAAACATTTGAGTAAAAAAATAAATTGTGAGGTTGTCTTAGTATTTTTTGGAAAAAAGCTTGATTCACGAAGTGGACAAATCTTCCGACCCAACCCCATGGGATAAGCTTTTCAAAAATCTGGCTCTGGTCAGTATTAATGATAAATATTATACTCATACAAATAACAGCTACACAATCATACAAATGTACAGGGTGCCAGATATATATTTTCTCCCCCTTCATTTCAAAAGTATAAATGAAATATGACATGAATGAAAAAAAAAGATAATGACCTCTTGTTTTTTGTCAACTAACTGTGGAATTGACTTGCGAACATGTTCTTGTATTCTAAAGAATGCTAAGGAAGGTTCGTTCGACACAATGTGCAGAGTTTCAGAGAACCTTTCTGTTGATTTTTTTACTTTATGGTCCAGCTCAGGATTCATCTGGTCACTGAAGAAGGCAGAATCTTGCATGTTATCTGAAAGTACACAAAATATGGGTTTATTTAGGATTATCTGCCACATATAACCTTCAAAAGGTAGAGTAAACCCCTACACTGAAGCGATCTGTCCAGTATACTGTTCTAGTAATGAAAATACCCTGGTATGTGACTTAAAAGAAAGGACACCACCAATATGATTATTGATGGGCCAATTCAATATCAAGAAAAATCGAGCTGGTAGGTTGAATTGAGTGGAGTTCCAGAGTCCTAAAAAATACAGTCTGAAAAGTAATTTTCACAATTTGTAGATTCAATGTATAGCATATTACTGATCTTTCTTACCACAAGTAAGATCTCAGAATAGTTTTCACTAAACATAAATCACCTTTCTCTAGATGTTGAATCAGTTTTTTATCATCTTACTTGTTTTATTACATTTTTGTCTGGAAATAATTTCACAATATACCGTATTCTCTCTAATGAGTGCACAGTCTGATTTCCAAATTGATATTTAAAAGGGTAAGATATTGAGAGATTCCAATTACACCTATGAAATAATTTAGAAAAATTGTCACTGATAATCTTTTTAGTTCATTTCACCAATAATATTAATACAGTCTTTGCTACAAATCGGTTAAATAGTGACATCGTACATCTAAAGTGTACTACGGTATATTTTGTCACTGTACCTTGTCGATGATTAGGCATGTAGTACTAAGCACCTTACCCTATGCATCTCACTAATAGACTGTATAAGATGTCACGTGTTTATCTTCACTTCAGACATGACTAAAAAATCAGAGTAAAATTGTGTCTTTGAATATTTTTCCGAGAACTGTATGTTTACATATTTTCATTTAAACACCTGCTAGTGTCTAAAGAAGAATAGTTACATTTCAAGGACTTATTCTAGACATATTAATTAGTAACACAGTGTCAAGGACTAATTCTAGACATTACAATTTAAAAAAAACATGAGGGAGAATCTCATAATATTATTGTCAGACTTACTAAATTACTTCACTATTTAATTTGCAAAGCTAGGGGAAGAAAGTTTACAAACCCTTATTAGGCCATTTTGCTCAGGAAGTGATTACTGACAGAAATGAAAATCTTGTACAGACTTTTCTCTTAGTAAAAAGTTCACTATTCATACATGATGAATCTATAATTCTAATACTTCACTTTCTAAATAAACTGGACTAGTGATACTGTTGGACATTTTCAGAAACATACACAACCCTTGAATCTGAAAGATTGATGAGTTTCCATCTAGGATACTAGCTAGGTGCAGACTTGATCACAGGATAGAGCTGGGAAAAAAGAATGCAAGCCATCCAACTGTCCCGCAATTTGCATATTTGTCAGGCAATTGCTGAAAAAAATTGAAGTCATGCCTGTTTTTTGCGTAAAATATATCTTTTATTGACTTTTACATTTGCTTCCAATTTTTTTGTTTCAAGGATGCTACTTCCAGCTAGTGACTGACCTAGGGGCAGAGAGCCCCCAATCAGAGTTTCAGCCATGTTTCTACCAGCTAGTGAGGTGACCTGAGATGGCTGGGGGTAACTTACAGAGTCCACTGAGCAGCTTGGCTCAGTTTGGGAGCACACTTTCCTGAATCCCTGAATCCCATAAATCACTTTTTGATCACTGATCAGTTTAAGTACAAAAAAACTGTACTTGTAAAGAATTGAACGCCTTTTCTGCTAGATTTTGTAAAGACAAGACACTTTTTTTTATAACTATTTCAGACTAAATTATTAATAAAATATGAGTACATATATTAAGGAATTGACTGGTTTGTCATTCCTTACAAAATTAGGTAATCTAAGGATTTCAGGATGTCACTTTCATTGAGGAGGGGGGGGGTTACAAATTAACATAACAAATTTTGAGATGATAATCCTAAATAGATATAATGATATGGTCCCTTATTAATGTGTAAATAAACCAAAGATCATTTTACAGGATGAAGTGTTTAAAGAAGTTTACATCATTAATAAAAAGCACACTGAACCAAACAGGGAGATAGGAGTTTGACTGTTGTGGCAATGGCTGGAACAAAATTACATGGTGATATGAGGTCTCAACCAGTGAGATCTCTGGCTATGATGATGAGTATCAATGACATCAAGTATGAGTATGTCTTCTGGGATCTCCTAAACAGTAAGTTTTATCACACACACCTAGTCCTACTTTATTTTACTTTAATGTACTGGTGTTTTAAATATCACCAACCAATGTCATCTTATTCCTCTGAACAGCATTAAAAAGAAAAGGGCAGGAATGGCTACTTGTACAGCAATATACGAGGGTTGATCATAAAGTTCTCATAATACAAGATTGACATTCATGAGTACTGAATTAAGGATGTAAAAATGAATCAGCATTGTGCACTCTTACATTGAAAATAGTAGTACCTGGACATACACTTGAGAATCATATCATATGGTACCTACATGTATTATATCTGTGGCTATCCTTTCTGGTCCACCCTGTAGCAACCATTACATAATTTACATATTCTAGCTATCCGCAAATACTTAATATTTGACCAATACTCTCTTATATTAAATGATTTATTACTGGAGATGTCACACCGACCCAAGAGTTGGAAGGCTCGTTTCGGGTCATGAACAACTTCTTACCAATTTCGGGTCGGGTCAGAACACTCGGGAATATCATAAGTTATTGTAAAATTCTTTATAGTTTCCCGCTTTTCAACCTTTGGTTTGCCTATTACGAATGTGGAATAGTTTACGGTTCTTCCCGATTGATTTAATGCTAAGTTTCTATCATCTCCCTTTATGAAAGTATCATATGCAATAATGCGGGCTTAAACAGCATGTGAATTCATTTTTCTTCTGACCTGACACGAAATTACCCAACCCGCACACACCCGAAAGATATCCGACCCATGACACCCCTAATTATTACCTTTTGGTTGTTCTCATGCTAATGTTATGTTATTGAAGGGGAAGAAACAATTTGGACTGAGGCCTTCATAAAAATGAATCCACTAAAAAGGGTCCCAACACTTGAGATTGATGGCAACTTTATAATAGAGAGCAATGCAGCCCTGCAGTACCTGGCAGAGAGGGAAGGGGTACCAGATCATTGGTACCCCAGAGGTGGGAAGGAAAGGATTCTTGTCAACACGTATCTTGCATGGCATGGTGTAGACATGAGAGGGAAAGCAATTGGATGGTTCTTTCACGCGGTAGGTAACCAAATCATAATCACCCTATGCAGATGGAGCCTGTGGGAAATATTTGGTGTGGCAGAAATGAGCATTTACTGCAGAGGCAACGGTCATTTTTTAATTTAAATTTGGGATATTTCTGATAATAAGCCATTTTGGGACTTCAAATAAACCCATATATATGTAGTTGACACCGAGTATCAATAAAATTGTGAAAATAGAAGTGCAATTCATTCTATGCAATGCAGTTTACATTAAACATCAGTTTAATGTCCTTTTTTGGCACAAACATGAAAAGGTATTTCCTAGTATTAGAGGTTCTGGAAACAGTTGGCATGGTCCAAGTACTCTCATCAGGGTCGACCTATATTATCATCATAAAATGTGATTTTATAAAAATTAGGAAATGTTCATCAAATATGAACCCCCTCTAAATATTTGGTGCGGCAGAGCTCAATAAACAAAGAACTTCATTGTTTGATGATATTATGTGTTATGAGAATACTTAGGTGTCAAAGTTACACATCTCGTATATGAGTATATTTGAAGTCCCAAAACGACTTAATTTCAGAAATATCCCAAATTTAAACACAAAAATGACTGTTGCCGCACTAAATATTTCCTACAGGCTGTCTGCATAGGGTGATAATTAACTTATTAAATGACAACTCAAATTCATCCATTTTAAGGGCAACCCTGATTTAATGGCATCTTTAATTGCTGATAATGAACTCAAGTTCAACGATCCACTAGTTGTCCTACCAGCTTTATCAATATATTAAAAATATTTCAAAAATGTATGAAATGTAAAATTATTTATGACATAACAACTGAATAATATAATACCCATGTGACAATGAACTCAGTGGCAGATCTGAAAAGTAACAAAGTAACTGATTTTACCCTGAAATGTAATATCACCAAAGACATGTAACATGTACTTCGGTACGTAGTAGTTTGACCACCCTTTCAATTATTGCTTCCAGGTTGCTTAGATTATGTATTGTGGCATTAAACATGTACAGTTTTCAAACATATACAAATGGTTCAATTTTAGGTGGTTCAACACGTGTTTCGTGGACTGCCAATAGATGAAAAATTTGTTGAAAAGGGACGTATGGAGATGGAAGGGATGTTTGATCAACTTGAAACTATATGGTTGAAAGAGAATCGCTACATAGCAGGAGATGACATCACAATCGCAGATCTTCAGTGTATCAATGAGCTGAATATCATTGAATGTGTTGATTATGTCATTAGAAAGGATAGACCCAAGTTATCAGCGTGGATGGAGCGCGTAAGAGAAAGGCTGAACCCTCACTATGATGACATAAACAGAGAACCACTGGCATTGATGCAGAATGTATACAGAAAATAGAAAGAAGCCAAGGCATAAGATGCAACAATGTGTCAAAATTGAAAATAACATTGCAAATCATGACTGATAAACTTAGAATTATGAATTAGAATTAGTTTGTATGTAGAAAATACACCCTTGGTATATGCAGCTAACGAAAATTGACCGGTACGGGTCAAAAGCTGGACCGGTATGGGTTAACGGTTTTATTTGAATTTAAAACAGCCATAACTTGCTCAATATTGACTTCCTCGTGTCTAATTTGAAATATATGATGCCTCCCGATGCTTTTAAGTACCCCAATTTTTTACAGATTTTTAAACGGACCAAAACTCTCTAACGCGCGTTTGATTTTATAAAAAATGCCAAACTTTGTGACAAAGAATTTCATCAGCTATTGCCCCGAACCGGTCCGTCTTCTCGCTGCAAGCAGATTGCCCCGAACCGGTCCGTCTTCTCGCTGCAAGCAGGATGAAATTCTTTGTCACAAAGTTTGGCATTTTTTATACAAGAACACAAATGTGTACAAAATGTCCCCACCGATGGGTGATCCCATCAAATGATTATCCTGAAAATGAGTAGACAAGACTTTACTGACACAATTTGAGGACGGAAAGTCCAAAATGGCCGCCTTAAAATTTACCCAGAATCCCCAAAAATTAGCTAGTTCTAGATTTTCATACTAAGAACCACCCCTGAAAATTTGAAACTGATCCGTCAAACAGTTAAACAAGACTTTACAGACAAGATTTTAGGATGGAAAATCCAAAATGGCTGCCTTGACATTTACCCAGAATGTCAAAAAACTAATCAGTTCTAGATTTTCATACTAAGAATCATCCCTGAAAAGTTGAAATTGATCTACCAAACGGTTCACCTGAAAACGCGTAGACAAGACTTTCAGACAAGATTTTAGGACAGAAAATCCAAAATGGCTGCCTTGACATTTACCCAGAATGCCAAAAAACTAATCAGATCGAGGTTTTCATACTAAGAATCATCCCTGAAAATTTGAAATTGATCTACCAAACGGTTCACCTGGAAATGCCTAGACAAGACTTTACAGACAAGATTTAAGGACGGAAAATCCAAAATGGCTGCCTTGATATTTACCCAGAACGCCAAAAAACTAATCAGATCTAGATTTTCATACTAAGATTCATCCCTGAAAATTTGAAATTGATCTACCAAACGGTTCACCTGAAAACGTGTAGACAAGACTTTACAGACAAGATTTTAGGACGGAAAAACCAAAATGGCCGACAATAAAAAAGTGATTATGAGTTTTTGCTGATTTCCTTTTACAAAATTATCACATATAACTACTGTTAACAATAACATAGGCTTTTTCAACAAAGTACACCTGAGATTATTTATAAAGCTACTAAATAGTTAAGGTATGAAAACTCAAAAACACCATTCAATATGATACAAAGTATTATCGCGCGCTAACTTTTCTTCAGACATTCAAAATGGCTGACATGACTGGGCTAACAGGTCCAAAACCTAATCAGATGTAGAATGAAGTGAGCTGAACAAGATGTTAAAGTTTTAAAAGCAACTGTGAAGCCGTTTTTCTTTGCAGACAAGGATTTTAGCATTTGACCTCAAAATGGCCGACAGGAAGTAGCTATCGAGTTAATTTTTTTCATCCACATCTGTATGCACTCACAAGTTATTCCTGAACATTTGAAGGTGATACCTGTAGCGGTTTTGGAGAAAACTGCCGGACGGACAGACAGACAACCAGACAGACGGACGGACGCGCCTAGGACGACAATATGGCCCCACACTATGTGGTGGGGACATAAAAATCAAACGCCTGTCATTGAAACTCACAAGATGTAAATAGCATGTCATTTACATCATACCTTGATGGGGAAAAATAGATCTTATATGTTAGAAGTACTAAATAAAAGTTATCGTGAAAATGAGACAGTCGTTCTCGAGAGAAAAGAGCATAAATGCGCATTTAGAGAGTTTTGGTCCGTTTAAAAATCTGTAAAAAATTGGGGTACTTAAAAGCATCGGGAGGCATCATATATTTCAAATTAGACACGAGGAAGTCAATATTGAGCAAGTTATGGCTGTTTTAAATTCAAATAAAACTGTTAACCCGTACCGGTCCAGCTTTTGACCCGTACCGGTCAATTTTCGTTAGCTGCGTATACCAAGGGTGAAATATATCACTTCAGAATTGTGGACCTCAAATATAATCATTTGATTATACTTTGAAGACACTTATAGTATTAGTACTTTATAGCTTATATGTGACATAATAAACTTGTAATTGCTGAATCAATAATAAATTCTTATATCAGATTTTACTTGAGCTACAAAATAGCATCATTTCAAAGCCATCTTCTGCATGGGTTGTTACAGAATTCCAGGAGGCAGAATTCTTCCAGGCCAGTTGGTGAATTCCAGCACCTCAAATTCTATAAATCTTGTATTTTAAATTATTGAGAATACAGACTTTTGTGATTTCTTTCAGAATTGATTCTTTAGCAACTTAATCACTTGATAATGTGTTGGTATCTAAGAGGTTATAATAGATCTAATAGTACATAATATAAATGCAATAGGTAAAACCATCACATGTGGTGCTACCTGTTATCAACAATATAATATATGTTCATTTGTTATAACATGAATGAATAAATTAATCAAATTACCATGGCACTGGTGATCCGCTTAATTACGCTGGTTACCGAAAATGTTCGTTTTGGTAACAAAATGTCGGAACGTCGAAGGTACGATTTTTCTTTTTTCCTCATTTCACGCGTTGTAGGCAGAATCCCCACAACGTTTTTTCTCACAAACGTATATTAGTATCATATGTTATAGAAAATGTACATGTTTGCGAAAAAATAGCTCAGAAGAAAACAGAATCGTCTATTTCATTTCTCACCCAAGTTACATAAACGGTTTGGGTTAAAAGTGCAGATCTTAACTGTTTTTCGAAAAACCGTTTATGTAATTTAAGTGAGGAATTAAATCGACGATTCTGTCGTCTCTTGAACTATTTGTTCGCAAATATGTACATTTTCTGATACTGATACTTTTTTGTGTTAAAAATTTCATAGGAATTCTGCTTTCAGCATGTGAAATAAGGAAAAAAGAAAAATCGTACCTTCAATGTTCCGACAATGTTCTGTTCAATGTTCCAACATTTTGTTACCAAAACGAACCGTTTCGGTGACCAGCATAATCGAGTGGATCACCAGTGCATGGCTGGATTAATATGAACATTGTTTTAGAAAGAAAGAATTTAGTTTAGTAGTTGAATGTATGCCGTCAATGAGAAACCTTGTTACTGCCAGATTTGCACCGATATATCGATCACATATGTCACCACCTATTCTATAGTCATGTAGTTAATTGGTTACATAAGTGGAACAATTTCTTAAAAATGCAGAATGCAAAGTGTCAATCAATACCAACTGCACTGGAAGATGCCAATTGCTGGTCACAAAAATGATAACAACATGATGTAATCATTGATGGCGACATAAAAATGACAATGTTTTTGGATTTAATATAATACCTTGCAAATCACGTAAGCGTCGATCTTTCTCCTTCCTTGCTAATGTAGCTACATTCCTGGCTGTTGAACTAAGCATTTAGACCATCTGTGTATCATAAAGATATAGATAATTCTGCGACAGTTCAAAAAGCTGCAAAACACAAGAGTGATAATTTTCAATAAATGAATGCTACATACTTCTGTACATAGGATTTCATGCATTTGGAACCATAAAGCCTCTACTAGGATAAACAATTTAAATTTTGCAATCAACCAAAAACACCCTATTCAGACTGTGCTATGTGAAAACAAGCATTGTGGATATCATGTGAGCACGGTGTGGATATTAACAGTCATTTTTGAATGTAAATTTGTGGTATTTCACTAAATAAGGTATGTTGAGTACTCAGTTTTATTCACCCATTTGTAGAGGATACCTAATCAAAGCAAAATTTTGATAGTTGTGTTCTTCATTCTTATAACGATGCACTAAGCACTCCTCCTTTTTCCAAAGAATTTGAAATTCCTGCTTTATACACTGTTTACAGCCTTCAATCAGTATTGGTGATCGAGATGACCTATTTGTATAAATTATTTTTGCATTTTGAAAGTCATAAACTTTGTGGGAATTTCTAAAAAATTGAAAACATTCATCGGACATGTGCTACCTCTAAACAAGCGTTGGCAAAGGCAGATTTAGAAAGTGGCAATTTGTGACCTGGGTTTTGAGGGTGTAGATACAAGTCCCTTTGCTTAAAGAAAACAAATTCATCAATTAACGGATTATCATTGATTTTATGTAGGGCAAAGGGGTGTAACGTCATCATGTTGGGTAATGTTGACATAAGAAATGGGGTAACTTTGACACTTACTTTAGAAGTTAGAATTCCGTTTTTTCAACATGTTTAATTTCTGGTAAAATTAAAATCTCACAGGATCTCGATCCATGCAAGAAAATAAACATGGCTTTCCTCTTGATTGGAAATTAGAGCAGATAAACAACTTAGTATCGAAGTTACCCCATATGTCGAGTAGTAAAGTCTAATTCAAAATTCTATTGAGTACTTAGAATTTAAAAAATAAGCAATCAAATAACCATAATGCAACACTATATGAAAAAATAGAAACCATGTACAAAACTATTGTACATTTCAGATAGTTAGGTATAATGTGCAGCAAACCTTTGGACTTTGGTAATTTAGGGAGTTTCAGCCATGTGAATTTTTTCGAAAATAACATGGCTGAGAAGCATCAAAATATAAGAGGCCACAAATATGAAAGCCAAACTACAAAACAAACCAAGATATACAAAAGTTAGGCCTTGTTTGACGATGGGTGTAGCCAGCTTTCAGTAGGGGGGGGGGGTGCTATCGCAATTTTTGGGGGGTTTCTAGTCAGGGAAGGGGGTGTGATCCTGGCATAAGCGAGCCCCAAAAAGATTGAGCTACTTCAAAAAATAAAAAGCATTTTAAAGCTCTTTTCTTCTTCTATCTAATGGTTCTATTTTTATTGGTTATAGAGGGGGGGCACCCATCACACCCCTCCCCCTTGCTACGCCTATGTAATGTAAATATACTTTTTCAATATGGTCTTTTGATTGTTTACACTGAAAAACTTTAATAAATCTCATCCCTAAACAGTTGTCATAAGGAGCTAAATTCTAAGTTTTATGTCTCAAACTCTCCCAAAAGGTCAAAAAATAATTCCTGTTCACTCTAAGTAGCACAATTAATGAATCCAAGGCTTCATACCTGCAAATGATAGATAAATTCCTACCAAATGGAACAGATGTCTTCATGGATCGCCATTTTTGTGATCCAAGGTGGATTGGCTCCCAGAATAAAACATATTCAATATTCTGCCCCATATATGGTATTGTGACCTTTAACCTTATTTACAAGTACATAAACATGTTTCAAAATGACGGAACTGCATTTTGAAAGCTGTCAGGTGTTATCACATCTTTCAGCGTGATCGGGAGACACCATTTTGGAGTAACTTCGACATATGAGGTAACTTCGACACCTTGTTGTTTATTACCGATCAAGGGGAAAGCCAGGTTTTTTCTCGTTTGCATCGAGATCTCGCAAGATTTGAATAATTCCAGAAATCAAACATGGCAGAAAACAGAAAATCTACTTCTAATAAGTAAGTGTCAAAGTTACTCCATCTCTTATGTCGACATTTCTCCACACATCAAATTACACCACTTTGCCCCAAAATGCCCTAGTTGCCCCATGACGAACCCAATACGTCGAAGTTCCACGGATCTCCCCTAACTTAATCAGGCTAGATGTTAGATCTAGAATAGATCTACATTGGAAAACTTTAATAAACCTCAACCATCAAAAGTTGTCACAATGAGCTAATTTCTAAGTTTTTTGTCTCAAACTCTTCCAAATGATAGAAAATAATCTCCGTTCACTAGATAAGTAGCGCAATAAATGAATCCAAAACTTCATACCTCCAAATGATAGATAAATTCCTACCAAATCATGGATCGCCATTGTTGTGATCCACGGAGGATTGGCTCCCAGAATGCAACATCAGCCTTATTAACCCGTGACAGATTTCAAAATGGCAGAACTGCATTTTGAAAACTGTCACGTGTCACGTTAGTCGAGTGAATGTTTTTTCTGCCAAATTCCAATATGGCATTTTCTGCTCGGACATTTTCGTAAATCTCCGTAGGCTGCCCAAACTCATTCTCAAATTTCATTTCGTTCGTTGCGTACCTCGCTCCTAGCAAACCGCCATATTGGAAATGGGTTGAGAAAACATTCACTCGATGAACAATTTACAAGTCTTGATCGAAATACTTGCACGGATTGATGATACTAATCGACTTAATTCGTGTTTCAAGGGTCACTATTTTTCAGCTGCCCAAGTGCGCCGTGGGAAAGCTAGGGCGAAGGGGTGTAACGTTGACACCATTTTGGGGTAACTTCGACATGTGGGGTAACTTCAACACCTTGTTGTTTATTTGCTCTTATTTCCGATCTAGGGGGAAGCCATGTTTTTTTCTCGCATGGATCGAGATCTCGGGAGATTTTAATTTTTCCAGAAATCAAACATAGCGAAAACGGAAATTCTACTTCTAATACGTAAGTGTCCAAGTTACCCTGTCTATTATGTCGACATTACCCCACACGTCGACATTACACCTTTTTGCCCTAGACATATCAAAATCCACTTACTTAGCTTTCGCAGGAAGAGGAAGTAACCAAACTTTACCTTTATCGCATCCTACGACCCCTTTAGATTGTGGTCGTAGGCCAGATTCATTAGTAAGCCTGTGTTTCTACAATGTCGGAGAATGAACTATGCATTGCACACATAAATGACCTACCTCGATATATTCCTGAGTATTTTAGAATTCTTTTCATATAGTTGAATCGCAAATTGTATGGGTTTATCGGCAGAACGAAGATATTTTCGTTTTTGATAGCAATATTTGCGTGTAGGTTCAACCGTCAAATTCCTCCATTCAGTTCCCGGCATGCACCAGTCATAAGGGAAATCCCTGGGGAATTCCCCTTCCGACATTTTGAAAATTGCTGAGATATTTCCGATGTAAAAACTAAAATCTCTTCGTTCTGACGATAAACCCATACAATTGGCGATCTAACAACATAAAAAGAATTTTAAAATACTCTGGAATGTATCGAGGTAGGTCATTTAATAGCGCAATGCGTAGTTCATTCTCCGACATTGTAGAAAGACAGGCTTACGAATGAAACGGGCCTACGACCACAATCTAAAGGGGTCGTAGGATGCGATAAACTTTACCTGTATTGATGCAGTAGACGAAATTACTGCATGAATTTACACACAAAGTCTTGCTTGTGTATTCTAGCCTCCTCTTTAACGCCAAATCACCATGGTGCTGTATCTAATTACGGAGTTATTAAGATAATAACGTATCACAAAACAGAATTTTATTTTTTAACCGGATGTTGAGTTTTGTCTTTTGGTAAATATTGTAAAACGACTTTTGATTGGCTGTGGAAAAATCAATCGACCAATCAAACAAACTGTGACACTTTATCTGTAGGCTCCAAATGTTTTGAAATCGCTAAGGTGCTGCTCGGCAAACAAAAAGGTATTGTATAAATAGTACATGTTTTTTACTAAAATAAACCAATTAATATGTTTTTTGAAATATCAAGGAAGACTTTGAGAACTATTTTTATCAAAACAAACCCGCATTGTTTAGCAGAAGATGCTTCTCAAATTTCAGATCTAAAATTTGAAATTTCGGCAAAGAAAGATGGCGGCTGATTCAAGGCTACCTTTTCAAACAAGAGAACAGAATGTGTGCGACAGTGATGAAGAGCGATCAAAAAATGCAGAGACATTCACAGTCAATTTTTCTAAGAAAAAGAAAGAACCTTGTAGCCTCCAAGACTCCTTCTTGAAGTTCCGTAGAGATCGTCAGGTAAATATGATTGGATTCAGGATTGTCATCTTGAGATGATGGTGTGAACATGTCGCTATGGCCTAACACAGCGATTATCTTTGATGAAACTTGCTTGTTAAGGCCAGGATGCATGTTCGGAATTTTTCTGCATCCCTCAACTGAGTCACATGTTATTTTTCAAACAGGAATCACTCCTTCGACACATTGTCTAGAGTCCATTTCACTGCTTCATTTCGTCAGTAGAACGGCAAAAATAAGAAATTGGGACACCATTGTGCAATAATATATGGAAAAGTATAGTCATAATGTACATGAATGACATTTGTATATTTCAGATTTTTTAGTTTTTTGTGCAATAAGCCTGTGCCGTCTTGTAATTTGAAGAATTTCAGCCATGTTAATCTTATTGAAAATAACATGGCAGAGAAACATCCAAATATAAGAGGCCACACACTTTATAAGCCAAACTAGAAGCAATCCAAGATATACAAATGTCATTCATGTACATTATGAATATACTTTTCCATATATTATTGCACAATGGTCTCCCAATTTCTTATTTTTGCCGTTCTACTGACGAAATGAAGCAGTGAAATGGACTCTACATCTTCCAGTTTTGTACAAAGAGTGCACTTATGTGCCTAGAAAAGACTGGTGAGAAGATTTGTTTTGTAAAATGTATAAAAACAAGAAAATTTTCTTGTTTTTTATACATTTTATCAAAACATTCCTATTTACATTCTTTTCTAGGTACATAAAGTGAAAGATGTACAGTGCTAACCATGAATAAATTACACCTGGATTTGCCGAAGTGAGGATTTCCCATGTTAAAAAGAAGAGAATTTTCAAGAGGCTATATATCAGTGGATGACAGTATACAAAATGTAAAATATACAAAACTTAAGGGATGTGTATCTAGACATTATTTAAAAGTATGAAGTCTCAAATCACCATGGTCTGGAAATGGTGATATAAAATCCAAGTATCATTTATTTATGGTTAGCACTTTCGATATTGTGGGGAAGGAGTGATTCAAATTTGAAAAATAACATGTGACCTTTGAGGGTTGCAGCAAAATTCCGAACATGCACCCTGACCTTAAAACTTTTGATTGGTGCTGAGTTCAATCGAAAAAAATTTACTGTTTGACTCATTCAGCATACAGAGTGTAGTTATTATTAGAGTAAATTAGAGGCAATGTTGTCCACATAGGTGTTTGACAAATGGCTGAACGGAGTGTCTACTAATTACCTATGAGGACAATATCATCCCCCTGTCCTCCAAATATGGAGTTAGTCCCTATCTAAAATGTGAAGTTTTGCCATTATCAAATATTAGGTTTGGAGTCATGAATCTCATTTGGGATTGGGAAGGCGATACGCAGATTTTTATATCTTTGGTTTGAAATTCACATTTGACTAACCCGGGGGTCATTAACAGACACTTCGTAAAGTTAGATTTTGTAAATCAATTGTTGGAACCATACATATAATGATGTCACAGTAAGAGAACAATGGACTTTACAAATTCTTAACTTTACAAAGTTTCTGTTAATGGCCCCCTGGTCATTAAATAATGCATGTTTCTCACAAATTCAAGTCGGTACAAATGGGTTTTCAGTAGGTTATTAGCCTTTTTCCAAAACATTCAACATGTATCTTATTTCTTCAATGCTGGATAGAGACACTTTATTCTTAGGTAACGTCATTCACTAAAACCTAGCAATTAACATCTAAAACAATGCACATTTGCACATAGGTTCTGTATAAATTATAGATTGAAATGGAATGTTCATATGCAATGATTATGATGGTATATCTGTTTGTTTGAGTAAAGTATATGTATGAATAATATGTTTGTATGATAAGTGTGTTTGTCTGAATGAATAGAATGTTTGTTTCTCAGAATTTAATCACAATTAAAAGTAAAGTAGAACAGTCCCACATGATAAGATACTTATATTGTCTTCCATCTTTGAATTAGCTTATAGCTAGAAAGGTATCAATCAATAGTTAGTGTTTACTTAATCATATATCTATTAATATCATCTTTTTAGCCACATCTGCTCAGACAGCTCCTTGTTCAAAGTATGTTACAATTTGCCACAACCTAATGCATTATGATCAGCAACAGGCTCTTTAAGTTATTCAAACATTACATCATTTAGATAATTGACATTCATTACACATTGAATTGTCACATTCACGTTCATGTGTATTTGATATTAAACCAAAATAGTTCTCCCATATTCTTTACAGCTACAGTATTACAGTATATACTGCTTTATAAATTATGAATTGTGCTATTGGCCTCTAACGAATGTCATATATCACCTTCTAATATTTGAATAAGAAGAGAAATACAATGCTATTATGACGCTCATAACTCATCAAAGGTTATAATTATGATAATACAAGGAAATGTATGGTTTATGTTATGTGAACTGCCACATGTCAAAGAAAAATATATTTTAGAGTATTTGTTTTACATAATTCTTGTGTTGGTAGAGACATTTATACTGCAGTCGCAGAATCATTCTTCATATAATTTCATCATTTTTGCTTAATTTTGTATTGGATTTAGTTTCAGCCTTGTTTATAGATGGCTCTATTAGTACTCCATAAATATAAGGGGAATTTAAGACTCATGTTTCAGTTTGATAGTTTTGTATTTGTTGGAAACCCTATTGCAAACAAAGTATATCTATATTCATAGAACACTCAGATTCTAGAAATTCTGTGGAGTTTCTGAGAAGCCTCTCTTTCTGTTCATGGTCTCATTAAAGTTTCACTTCAAACCTTCAACTTAAATTGGCTTTTTGAAATAATATTGTTTAGAAAATATAAGCAAAAATGTATCTGGCTGTCTCTTGTGAAAAATGATGAAATATCTTATTTATCTCTTAGTTGTATGAAATTAACAAATGGTCCATCCTGATTTTGTAATCAAGAGAAGGGCACATTGATTTTTAGGATGTTGTAGCCTTTGACTATCAGTTGCGAGTGTTTTAAGCTCATTAGATAAAGCTATGAAGAGATTGTTCAACATCATTGAATCTTTCTGTAGGCAATCCTCTAAGGCTGTATTTAAATGTCCATATGGAGCTTGATGTATAAAAATAGATGATGATAAAGCCCAATGTGTTACATTATACCTCAATTTTTGCCCTGTATCTTTTATGTAGGAGTTTGTTGCAACAACAATCAGCTGTGTTGTCATAGCAACTAGCAAAATATGTTGCTTAGCAACCAAATCTAAGGGAGTAAACCTGGAAAAGATAAGCTGATTTAATGAATTATGTATGACAAATACAATGTGCTTGTTCTAGGCTATAGAAAACTGCTTTTTCATAAGATATTGCTTTGTTAACACTCTAATCAATCCCATTTTGTATTTTATTGATTGGTATATCCCTGTACTGGATGGATAGCTAGCCTAGCCTGAAAGTTGATCAATTAGGTTCACATCATATTGACGATCTTTCTTCTGGGACTCCGGCCTTTTAACAAACATTTACCACTCTCTACTGGGATCTGCTGCCATGTTTTATCAAATGAATCAAGCAGATTAATAATTTACTGTGGGAGTTGAAAAAAGCTTTGTTTAGAATGTTGGTACTCCGTGAAAGTCTGAAAAGGTCATCAGTGCATTTTGGGTTCATTGGATTCTTTTGGCGGCAAATTCTGAATACATAAAGCAAGCAATAAGGCTCGTTGTTTACTTGTAATCAGAAACTTTTATGTGCCAATTCACACAATAACGCTTTTCAATGCTTTAGTGCTATTCTATATAATCTAATATGAAAATATGTATGCTAGTGGTTCCCTAAAATGTTCAAATATTTATTTGTAGTGACTTACTGGTTTAATAACATGTGAAAACAGAAAGAAGAAAAGCCTGTTCATTGGCTTTGTTTGGGACATTAGCAATGTTTCTTCATATTGTACAACACCTATTATGATTCCTCAATGCTAAACCACTGTGAATGTTTCCATGGTTTTGTTGTTGATGTTTAAGAATACAGACTTTAGCTGGCAAGTATTGTGCTTCCCTCAAGGGTTTCATGTAATGGTATTTAAGAGCATATATTTCTTATGATAACTTTTGACAATTACATTCTGATGGTTTGCTTGTTGATTTATCCAGTTATCCAGGTACGCTTTTAGGTCTATTAGGTTTATTTCACTTCATTCAAATCTTACATGTTTTCACAGGAAATCAACAATGGGAATTAAATAAGGCAAAATACTTAAAGTTTCTAAGAAATGTCCAGTCTTGTTGGTTACCTAACAAATGGTGTATTATGGTACTCCTAAAGGTACTTTAGTTCAATGGCCCTCTTCACTGAACTTTCTAAAGGCTGGAATTTTAATTTTTAAAACCAATCATGGATGTTACAATTGGTAACCAAGAACTGAGTTTGTTTGATAAATTGCAGTGTTTGTCCTCAGAAACTACAAATAAAAGAAGTTAGATTTATGTTTTAACTCCTGTATTGGGTTTCTCTTCCAACATAATTCCTCAAATGGTAATATTTTTCTGGTCAGAATCTTGCTCATTGTAACAGAAAACTCTTGAAATAGTGAGCTAGTTATGATTCTATGGAGAACTGTTTATGAAAAAGATCAAAAGAAATATATCTGGGTTAGTTAAATATGCTAACTGGACAATTGTACGCCCTCCACTTGAGTGGATCCACTTTTGAACAAAATTTCATATCATTTTTCATATAGCCTAATATAATGCATCCAGTAAACACTCTTGGTATTTGTCCCATTGAGCATTTGTTATTTGGTTTATCCACCTCTTTCAAGCAGTATCATTCCCCAAATGTTCATTTGTATAAGGGGGTCAAACAATGTCATATTGGTAAATATCAAACATGACATATTTTTGAGTTGATTTGTTTAATATGTCCATGTAATTAATAACTTTTTAATTTTTTAAAATATATTTTCAGTTTGTTTCTTTAATGTCATCAAGGGCCTTGGGTCATATTGAAGTTTGGAATAATTTTGACATTTTTCGCAATATACAATGTATCATATGTTTTTTTCTTTTTATCGTGCTATAATGTATTTGCATTAACTCTTCTTATCTTTGATCAGATAATGCATATTGATATCCGATGACTTGATTTTCTGGGTAAATGATATGTGCTCTTGATGTACAAATATTACATTTATTTCTACATTGTCATCATTTCAGAATTACAAAGCCTTTTGAGGTATTTCCTTATATCTTGTTGTGTCCTTGTTATTATTGCTTTAAAGTTATGTTCATACTCATTGATCCAAGAGCGGAAAAGATAGAAGGGTCAATAAAATATGCCAATCTTTGATAGCAAAAAACCGAGGACTCCAAAATGGGACACTTTATTGAAACAATCTGTTTGTGTGACATTTCCAAAAATGTTAATTTAGGCTGTTTTTCACCAAAACTGGTCTCTCCCCAGAGTCTTGATATGGAAAAAGCTATCGTCTCTCTATATATAGTAGTATACTATTTCAATATTATTGTGCTTGTGTAGTTAAGAGGCTTATCTGATAAGGCTAAGATATACTTATGTCATTATTCTATACAATCTCCCAGTAATTAATATTTAATTATAACACATGGTTGCCTGTTCATATCAAATGCATTATCGCATATTGCACATAAAGAAACACTCTAACAAAAGCATTGCATGTATATTTTATAACTTCCGGGAGAAGCAATCGATTTTTAATCTGGCATTATTCTATAAATATTTTTGTCGTTATGGCTACATTTAATGATATAAAACATGAAGTTATCTATCAAATTTTAAATACTTGAAACTGGAAAGTTGAGTGTTTGTACTTGCCATGTGCTATTGTATAGATATGTCTGATGACCTGACATGACATGTAACTCGACTTTGTAGGGTATGATAATAGAGTTAGTAATTTGACCAAGGGATGTATTACCTCCCCTAATTGTGTTTCAATGTATCAATGAAGTTTGGTGTAAATGGGTTGAATAAGGTGCCAAAAGTTGATGGAAGACCCCTAGAAATTCACATAGATTTTACTGTTGATGTAGGTTGCTTAGCAACTATGTGCATTAGGGAAATTGCTTCCCAGTGGTTCTTATGTTGGCTTCAGTTAACATGGTTAGAAAATGGAATGGGTTTATAACAAACAGATTATTTCAGCATGTTATTACTTGGCATTGTTAGTTTAAGTGCTAACCATTTCTTCAAAGGAAATCAGGGAACTATTTTCTTTTCATAACTTTCAATTTAGTCATTGAATATTTCCATTTGCAAGTATTGAAGCATTGACAGCACTTCACTGGCTTGAATCCTCCAATAAAATGAATTGTATTTTCTGTGTTGAGTTTCAACCAATAGGAGCAGAGCTTTTATTGACCCAATAGCGTCAGGTAAAGTTAGCTACCTTCTAATCCTACAGCAATTAGGCAGATTGTTTACTCGTTGGGATGACACGTAGTGGAGAGCTTGTAGGCTCTCAAGCAGGTACATTTAGTTGGTATATAAGCCAGGTAGGCGCGGGTCAAACCTCGTGGGTTGACATAGGCTTAGTATGGACCATCCCTGCACAAGGCAAGTGGAGTTGGCTGGAGAGGCCACGTATTGGGGACTTATAATAATAAATTTTATATGTGGATGAGACACCTGTGGCCACTGAGCCTAGGGCTTTACTTTAAGCCCTAGTTGGGTGGTAGGGTTTAAATAGACACCTTATCCCGGCTGTATCTCATTATACAGCTTTGGTAGTTGGCGGGGATTTCGGCTGGAAACACTCTCCTCTAGTTACAACATGTGCTAGCAATTCAGCTCGGCTTGCATTTACACATCAGATAGCATCGGAATGGGTAAGATCAATTTTTCTATAGCAGGTAAAACACTTGTTTTATTCGTTTCATATATCTTGTGTAATTTGATTATACTCAGTTATTATACTCAGCTCTGGGTTATTTATGGACTTCTTTATTAATTTAGTAGTGTATCACCTTGTAGGTCATGTTATAGAAATGTTGATTCAACTCAAGCTGTTTATGTACATAGAAACTTAATTACTATTAACAGCTGGATGAAGTTTCTTTCTTAATTAATTGTTCCACTTTTTGTTAGGGCTAAATATAAATGATATAAGACAAATGTTAATATATATTATATTTAAGAATGTAACATAGTCTATAGTCTAATTTGCTAAAACCAGTTTGATTGATCTTTTTCATAGAGAAATACATCTTCACATATCATGTTTTTAAAAAGGCATAGAAATATTTTGTTTATTTCGATTCAGGTTCTCATTGAAACACTTTATTAAAAAGCAGTAGATGGATATTTGATAGGATATTTAAAGGTATTCATGCTGAAAGGGAGCATTTCACTAGAGTTGAATTAGGGCGATGTACTGTCAGCAAAATGAAGCTCATTAATATTCCAGTGGTGTTGAAAAAACAACATAAGTTTTGTACTGACATCTGAGTCACTGTAGTTTTAGGCAAGATATCTACAGTTTGAGGGAAATAATTACCAGATATGACATTCTGAACATCATGCTGATTGTAAAAAAAAGAAAAATGGGAGCAAGATCTGTGAAAAGTTGAGACTGTTTTAACAAAATCCAGATAATGTTTTTTGAGGTTCCCATGGAGTTAAATCTTTTGTTTCAACCCATCTAAGTACTAACTGTATAAATATACCATTAAGTTACAACAAGTAGATAATTATACAAGTATGGATGTATAAATATGGCCCGAGGCCTTGGTTGTGTATAATCAGTGGTGTTCTGGCCCTCTAGGCCCGGTTGAGTGTCTTTACATGTAGATGTGTGTACTGAGGGCGAAACTTGACATTTGATGTATGTGAAAAGTAGATGAATGAAATGCTGAAGAGGGTTCTAGTAGGGATAATTTGTGGGTGATTTATCTCACTTTACTTGGAGTACTAGGTGTAAACGTTACCTAAAAATGCAGTTTTGCTATAATACCTGGGTTTAAAACATGATGGATGGGAGAATGCCTATGTGGAATAGTTGCCCCATGAATCACAATCGCACCATATATCAAGGGATGCTCAATCCAATAGGTCATACAGGTTGTTTTATCGAGGTTCAGACATACCTTGGTTTACGCCTGATTTTTTTTAAAGATGCTACATCATGTATTTATCTGGTGGTTTTTAGAGAGATAGGCAAATTGCCTTCAGTCTGGAAAATTCCATGTAAAAATAGCAGTGTACTTACTACCAGGTGTAATACCAACTCGCATAGACCCACATGGGGAGAAAACTTGTCTGTAGGAACTGAGGCTACATGGAACACTGGCAGATCTTCACTTGCCAGAAACATTACCTTTTTTGAAAAACATGTTTATTTTTATGAAAGTTTTACCGTATGGTACCATGATAAGAAAATATGATAATTTTATTTTGTGGAATATAACAAGAAAATGTAGTTTTTGAGTTCTGAATGAACTTACAAATTGGCAAAATTAGTGATTTTATTAAAATTTTCATTTTTTGGAAGGGAAATATTAACAGGATAGAATTTTTGCTCAGAACCTGTTACTTTCAATAATCAGCAATAAGCAGTGTTAAGGGTATGTGCAGATCTGGCACTGGTACTATCTTATTGAGGTAGCCACTCCACTCCATTACATGATTGATGTTATAAATTATTCCTATGTGAATACAAAGAAAAACTCACTGATAATGTTTTTCATTGGTACAATGATGTATTGATTTTATATGGTAACATGGTACTGGAATGTGGTATATCTAGGTATTGTATGATTTTATTTTATAAATATTTTTGTCATTTATTTATATTTTGTATTATCTCTAGAATTATTTAAAATATTATGTTGTAGAGTTTTTATTATATTATTTTGTCGCTTGATCAGGTCGACCCCAAATATGGTGGTCCCTGGCTTATTTTTAATACTAAATGTATAGATGTAGCGTGATTATAGTCTAGAATGTGTGATGTAAAGTCTAGAATGTGTGCCGTTCTACACCCACCGAACGTTGCAGAGGGTTTGCAGAATTTAGCAGAGGTTCCAACGTCCCCACTGACCAAATTATGTAAATCCTCCAAAACATTGCTTTAATTGATGCTTTAAATATCTCTATACCATTGCTTTACATTGGCTTATTTTGCTCTACCATATTGCACTCGCCTATTTTGCATATATTATTTTTACAACAAATCGCGTCGTCAACATTTTGTTGGCGGCCATCTTAGCACCATGTAGTTTGGCCTCCCTTTCTGCAACCCACTCTGTTGGTCCGGGGCTGCCACTCTGATCCTTCACCAGAAGGCAGTCTGGTAACCCCCGACCAACGCAACAAACGGTGAACTTTGAAAAAAGATCGCCAGAATTGAATCTAGAGCTGTGACGGCATCTTACCTAGCAGCATTGGACTTGTCTTGCAACCTCTAATACTGTCAGGTAAAGATGTCAGCACAGTTCTCTAACATCTATGACATCACAATGGAGTTTCCAGGACAACACAGTGAAGTAAAAAATGACATCACAATGGAGGCCATGATAATGTTGGAACACCACATTATATACATCATGCAAGAATACCCAAATACCAGATGACAAGCTAGCCAAAGCCAACAGATACGATCCAGATGAATGAATCAATGTTTTATCATACCAGACACAATGATGGCATGCCTGGTTCGCACACTACCATAACAACATCAACGAAGAGCCTAACAGAAGTGGACAGAAACAACCAAGACAACATGTTTGCGACACCAACAGAAAACAGGATATCATGTCGAGAATAGAAGCTGTCAAGAATAAAACCTGTCTTGTTAGATTGTCATTGGTTTATCCACCCGTTGCTACTTATTCACTTTATCCATTAAGAACTTGAGGTTTTAATGAATACTGCCAGAAAACCATAGATGTCTGTATTGATTCCATTGATCAGTTTAATAAAGTTGGAAATACTGAATGGTAAATTTTATATATGGATAGACATACGCTTTCAGATGGATTATTGATTATCAATATAGTGTTTTAGCTTGTTGTAAACACTCAGGTTCATTTCATGAGAAGTTTATTGAATCTAAAATTGTAAAAAACACATTCTTTAGTTATAAACAGATGAATGAAAAAAACAAGGCTCTGATTGTTGAATAATCTAGTGGTGGGAGTAACCCAAGTTAAGTGTAGCCCTCTAAAAGGCGCTATTTGTGACATGTTTGTATTGGGAATGAGTCACTGCTGAGAATTCACCTTAAAGCTTTGGATAATACTTCTAAGGTTTAAATTTTATTCAACCTCACTTAATGGAATACTAATACAGAACATTATTAGAAAAGTTTTTTGTGTTGGACTAAGATAACCTGTGCAAAATATCTGCACGTTTATAAAAATGTATGGCATGTGTCAGCATTTCAAAATGGTCGCCTTTTACCGTGGCACGAAGAGCATCTGTTGAAAAATCAAGTGATTTATGAATTAATTATTATGTTGAAATATAAATTATTATGTTACATTATCGTTGAATGGATATGAACTCAGGTATTCACCAAATTTATGTTTAGAAATTATAAAAACATATATTACATATCATGTTCTTAAAATAGAAGACGCAACAATAAATGTTCAGCTGTCGCTCATGTTGAGAAGTAGCTCCTAGATGCAATTTCTATAACAAAAGCGCCACTTAGGATTGATTCTTAGAAAAAGCAGTTCTATTATCTGTATTCCTGGACATGTCTTATATGTCATTGTCCCTGTAGTTGTGAATGCTTCGTTAATAAATGTATTTTTGGCTCACTAATGGAAAGAGATCATAAGCCACAATGGGCAGCATTAAACAAAATAGAAATACACATTGATTGGCCCATCGAATCTTTGATCACAACTGCCTTTGTAAGTAAAGGAAATGTAAGAATAATATATTGGCAAAGAAATATTTATTTAGTAACTGACCACCTGAGAACAAAGCAGATATAAAACTTGAGCAAAGGTCACAAGTTGTAAAATTGTACATAAACACATTTCATTGTAGAATTTGATTACTTGAGGGTATGTAAAACTGCAATCAACCTCTGTTGAATTGTATTATATTTCCTATATCAGAGTGAAAGTACAAGATAAAACGAGGTAACTGTCCACTAGCTTGGTCATTAAGTCTCAGGATTCTAAGGTGAATTAGTTTGGAGGCAATTGGGAGACTCACCAAGGCTGGATAATATTATTATTACCCCTTTGTAATTGAAACATACAGTTGCTTTTAACTTTTATTCTGTAAAAGAAATATATCTATGGGATGTCAACACTTGTGAAAGAACCTAGTTAATTTTGAAAGTGGGTGGAGGTTAAATTGTGAGTGGTGAATAGTGATTTACAAGTGAATGCAAATCAACATTTTCAAATTTACTCATTAATAAATATAATATATGGGGGGGGGGTTAAGTCTAGTATTTTCTTCATCCTTGGTTAAACCATAACAAAGATTGCTTGTTCGATTGTTGGAAACTTATATGTATCTCTAATATTAAAAAAAATTATTTGTTTTAAAATGATATTTAGATAAATGAAATGAGTAAATTTTGTAACTGGTAAAATATAGTAAAGACATTTAGTTGAAATGTTTTATGATATCCAAAGGTATCAGATAAAAAAAACATTCATATAAGTTTATGAATAAGGCAATATACATGTACAGTATTATCATATATCCGATGAAGCATTTTTTGCCCTGTAATTATTATGTAAAAGATGGCCACACCATTAGATAAGCCTAAAAGGTTGGTATTATGTCATACAATGCATTATCAAGATGTCAATTGGCTCCTAATTAGTAGGCAGCTCTGATTTATGTAAAACCTAAAGGG